TATATATATATATAATAAAACCCCGTTTGAGAGATTATTAAAGTTTGTGCCTTTTCTGTGTTTTGATTCCAAAAGGAGAAAGATCGGAATTTGTTAGTTGTCATATAGCATCGCCTTTCAATTTCGTATCTTTTTTTTTTCCTTTAAATTTTATATAGTTTTGACAAAAAATGTGTTTGGTTGGTAAGTTTCTTTCAAAAAGGTGCAATTGCAAAAAAAAAAAAAAACTGACAAACTCTTCTCTCTTTCTATACATATATAGGTCGAATGGGTTGTGTGTAGAGTTTTCCATAAGAACACTACAAACCCAATCATGATCAAGAACCCCATGGAAGATCTTCCAAGAATCGATTCTCTGGAGAACATCGATCATCTCCTGGACTTCTCTTCTCTTCCTCCTCTCATGGATCCGAGTTTTCCGTGTCAACCCGGTCCGAGTTTCTCCGGCGGCGACTTCAAACCCGCCAACCGCAAACCGATCCACAACGACGACGACACCACCTACTACTTCCCCTACCGGTCAATGCCTGGCCCGGGTCCGGGTTCCGGGTCGGGTTCTACGTTCCACGGACCAAACAACGACAAGGGCATGATCAAGTTGGAACATTCTCTGAACAGTGACGTGGAGGCGACAGAGACGCCGGGGATCTCGTCATCGTGTCCGGAGACGAAACACGACGTGACGGCGGCCGCGATGATGAACGGTAGCAAGTCTTACGATGATCTTGGAGATTTGGGAATCTTATGGGACTACTAATTGATTTGTAATTGTAAATAATAGTGCTATTTATTAATCATATATATACATGTATATATATATATATATACATAGGGTTATTATAGGTGTTCCTAGTTATTACACTGCGTTGGAGTGCTTAGTCGATTGTTTTTTAGTCTTTTTACCGTGAAGAAAATAAAAAAAAAATAAGGGCTGTGGTTAATTATGGTTATTTATCATCGTGTATAACCTGTAATTCCATGTACACTGTATATATATATAACTGCGCTCGCCCATGTGATTCATAATTATCATTTTTTGGGTTTATATTGGAAAGGTTTTCACATATGCATCAAGAAATATCAATAAATAGAATAAATTACAGTAATACCCTTAATTATTGATTTTTTGTCATATACATATAAATTCATCACAAAATAATTATTGGAATAATAAAACAATATTTTTTCCGTATGCCTAACCATTTAGTAGTACGTCTTAGTACATACTATTATTTGTTCAATTAACAAAAAATGCTAAGCAAAAATTTAAGTCCCCCAAAGTCTTCTGTCTCAAGGAACTTGGTCATTACATCAATCGCATTACGTTTTTTTTAAATGTTAGAATTTTAATGTATTTGTACAATAATTTTATAATTTCGGAACAAAAATAACTTTTAATGGATACAAATATGTCATATATGTTCTACTATAAAATGTAAGGCTTATGAATTATTGTTACTTCCTATATTTGATTACATATATGATGATGTAAATAGATAATAATATGACAAATTTTTTAAGGAACATATATCAATACGATTTAACCACAAATACCAAACACATATATAAAACGATAAAAAATAGATCAACCTTTAATCTAACGTTATTCCATAATATTTATTTTATATTTATAAAAATCTAATAAAATGTTATAAATTTATTTAAATGAAGTCAACAAGTCACATAACCAATAACTTCAAATGAATTACTAAAAAAAGGCTCCCTACCAGTTAGAAACAAAAATAAATAAAAACAAAAATAAAAAATGATAGAATTTTGAGCGTCTTGAAAATGCAATAATATATAACAATATATAACATTAAGGTGTTCGGAAATGGTTGAAGTAGATGCTAGTTGGAAGCAAGGTTCATATCACTGGAAACAAGGAGATGAGAGTGAAGGCCGAAGGCGGCGGAAGAAGAATGAGGCACAGAGAGCCTTTGAGACATATGCTGCTCAGACAGAGCTCTGCTTGCGATGTCTGGTTTGCTGAGACAGAGAGAAAGAGAGAGACGGATGATTAATATCGAATATAGCATGAGAAAGCAACAACGATAAACAGAAAAAAAAAATGCAACATATTTATAAAACTAACTCTTGGTATCTCTAACATCGACGAGTGGAGGGTCACACAGAGTTGCCAGACCAAATATTTGTCTCCCGAAGAAGGAAGGCAGACTGGGACTGTAGAAACTGGTTGACGTTAATCTAGTGGCAAGGATGAAATTGGTGTGGCTGCTATTCTCCAGGGCTGGCTCTTTATGGGTAGCATGACTCAAAACCAACATTTTCAAATGGCGGTCCCACTAGTCGATCAACTCCTCACCACTACATAACTGGAACCTACAGAAGCTAATTGGAATATGGGAGCAAGTCAGACCTTTCTTAAAGCACAAAATAGGTGATGGAGCCACCACCTACTTCTGGCTCGATTCTTGGACAGAGCCTGAACCTTTGATTGTTTTTGTAGGGGAACTTGGACCGAGAGAACTACGAATCCCTCTCCATATGATGGTCAGGGAAGCAACGAACGGAGAAGGCTGAAAACTACTGCCGACACGATCAAACGCGACACAAAGAATCCAAGAAATCTTAACCACGAAACCTATTCCAACACCGAACAATTGATCTGACAAATTGCAATGGAAGCAGGGACATGATCTATTCATTGAAAAATTCATATCCTCGGTAACCTGGAGGCTCCAATGTTCACCATCAGCCGAAGTTCTGTGGGCGAGCGCAATGGTTTAAGCAAACAACGCCGAGACATGCTGTTATCCAATGGCAAATGTTCTTGAGAAGATTACCGACACGAGATCGGTTACACCGTTGAGGACTGCAACAAGAGACCATCTGCCTGCTGTATTATTCGGACGACGAGATGCATAACCAGTACTTATTCCTTCAATGCCAATTTAGCTCCGGTATATGGCACCGCTTTGTAGAGAAGATTTGGTGTAATTCCCCACTCTTACTACATCAGATTCTCCGCTGGATTGAGGAGGCGACGACTGATCGAACACTAACAACGAGCTGCACTAGGGAGAATAACACTACAAGCATTGGTTTATCTTGTTTGACAGGAGAGAAATAACAGGATTTTCTATACACAGAACACCCAACGACCAACTTTCATTCAAAAGCTGGATCGTCTTGTTCGAAACATTATCTTATCTTGTCAAATGAGCATGCAATATCGTGAAAATCCGTTACTATAGGATTGATTCTATATCACAAAGCCTTTTTGATATGTTTTTTTTGCTAGAAAAACAATAGGCATAGAAGTTTTATTTTGCTAATCGTTTTCAAAACAGTTCTGTAAACTACAAACTGTAATTTTTTGGTCAATAGATGCACATTTCATATAAAAAATATATTCAAGTTTTAATTGTTTTAAATACTCTATTCTATTATAATAAGACGAAAAAATAAATTATTTATTGAGATATTATACATTAACACAGAAATATTTGATTATTTTAAAAATTCGGTTATTAAAAAATCAAATAATCTACATGAAAAAACTGGGAAGGCCCAATAGAAGTTTTAGGCCCATCTATTGACATTACTGACGGTACGACTGGTTTGTATCATTTAGCGATTGCGATTGCATATATTTGCCATATGTTTATGAATAGTTGATAATTTATTGTTGATAACGATTATAGGTAGTTTCGATTCCAAAATAACTCATCGATTGCGAGTACGATTCCAATCGGATGTAAATTGTTTAAAAAATACATTGTATTACAGTAATAATTGTTTTCAAACTATGTTTTAATTGTTTTTTATAAAAATATTTACCAAATTTATAAAATAATCAAATACAAAATTTATCAAATTAATTTATTTTTTGATAAACATTTTTTTTTAAATATTAAAAATACCAAAAAATATGTTAGTAGTTTAATGTGTTTTAAATCATATTTATATATTTTTTTATATAAAATTACCAATACATACTTAAAAACCAACGAAAATCAATAATTTTTTTTTTTAAATTTATGCGGATTCGATATTGCGAATGTTCGGATATCTAAATCTCGTAAGATTCAAAAGTTATCTTCAGAAAATTCGTTAGGATAGAGCCGAGGCATGGCTACTTAATTTGCATGCAAGGAGAAAAAAGTAGATACCTTTGGCTATTAACTCTTTCCACTAATATATGCAAAAGAACGCCTTAGCATGAGGAGCAGAAACGAAGGACGTAGCCAAGGAAAACTTGCCGATCGATATATGATCACAACCTAATCGATATATATATATATATATATATACATATTAAAACATTATAATAACAATATATAATAATAATAATAATCTCTCTTTTGGGAACTTGAAGCAAATCGGCAAGTCATCCTTGGCTGCGTCATATCCATTTCCATGCCCTAGCATGCTAAGCCCCATGTTTCTTTTGTTCTCTTTGAAGTCCATACACCCTATATGTATACATACACGTGTATGTGTGTGTATATATATATATATATATTGTAGATCAAAAAGAGGGAAGAAAAATGTGATGTACATGTATCTCTATTGGTGTATATATAGGCAAGCAGCGAGAGAGGGTAGATTAGAACATCTATTTTCTAATGGAAAAAAGAAAGGAATGCTTAGATGAGAAGAAATCTATGTATTTTGTATTGTAAGATTTTTTGTGCTTGAGATTTATTAGGGGTTATGGTATAAAAATAAATTCGAAGAATTAGGACATAATATTTGATTGTAGAGAAAACATATTTTAATATCCAATATTTAATATGATATATTCTTTCTTATAAATCTAAACATGCAAACCTCATTGAATATACAAGAATCTAGATAATTTTCAAATCTAGATTGATTGGATGCTTGAATATATATATATATATATATATATATGTGTGTGTGTATATATATACATAATTTTAAAATTCAGATGAATGAATTTCAGAAAAAGTATACTTATTTATTTTTAAAATTACGTTTATTTGATATAGTTTCTATTTAATCATTAAATTTAAGTTTCTTTCAGACTGATTTGCTAAAAAAATTATTTTTATTCATTTTAAATTTGTTTATATGTCAAAAATATATTTAATTAATTTGTAATTAAATCTGACCTCTATAAATTATTCGAATTCATTTCTACTTGGGTTATTCAGAATATATTATAAATAAAATTTCTCAAATTGTAAAGTGGGAATCAACTTCTCTTTCCATTAATTAATTCCACCTATTATGAACTTAATTTTTAATTCACAAAATTATAATCCCGTAAAATACAATAACACCATGTTGTTTTAAATTTACCATAAGTTAATGAAAGATGATATATAATGGTATCGGCAGTGGTGAAAGATGAGGTGTGAGACAGGTGGAGCTAAAGAACATGAACTTCAATTGCCGTGGCTGCAAAAGAATGGTGGGTCTGTAACAGGATTAGAATAATAATCGAATAAATTAATCTAACCAAATAATATAATAATCAAATCTAAATTGAATTAGATATAAAAAGGTTATTATTTTAAAATACCCTCATAAGAACTTATTTAAATTTTTACCATTTTTTCTCCCAAAAGTATGACAAAATATATTTTTTTTAAAATAATTATTTTTATCAGTAAAATTGAATTCAAATTATATAAAGAAAAACTTAAAATTGAAAAATTATATTTTTTGAAAGGCGATATAAAAGAATCGAATCGGACCCCTATGGAGACGCGAATAAATATATTGAATTCAATATGGATTTTAATGTTTATCTACAGTCGCTAATAAATAGTGAAAATTGGATATAATAATAATAATAATAGTAAAAATAAATATTAACATAAAAAGTTTTTTTTGATAAGATTAACATAAAAAGTTAAAAATCAAATGTCTAAATATAGGGTTTCTTCCTAGGAGGGAAGCGTGTTTTTTTAATTAAATATAAATATATTGAATTCAATATGGATTTTAATGTTTATCTACAGTCATGATGTGCATGTGAAGTTTTCGGCTGTTTCTGCAGGAAAAAAAATAAAAGAAAGACGAAAATAATAATTAATAATAAAATAAATAGTGGCTGAGGAGACAACGACGTGGCCATTTTATATCTTCTCCGGTCGTGTATGTCTTCGTATATATACGTATTACATGTGCGTAATGACACTTATAAGCTATATCGGTGTCCGAATTAGTTTTCGTTAAAAAAGTCTTCATTTTTTTTATTATTTCTATATTCATTTCATATTTCTTTTAATTTGATTACTTAAAAATTTATGTTCAAATGAATATTTAAATCAGTCCTGGTTATCCTTATTAGATCCGGTTTTGGACGTATATATAAGGAAAATTTTAAAAAAAAAACACTAAACTTTCAAATTTTGACAAAAAAATTAAATTTTTTTATTTTATCAAATAAATTTGTAACTTTTTAAATTTGACAAAACAAACACTTAACTCTTCTACGATTATCAAAATAAACAAAAATAACTGACGTATCAAGGAGATGCGAACATATCAGATTATTTTATTTAGTTTTTTTTGACAATCGAAGAAAGTTTATATATTTTTTTAGACCATTAAAAAAGTTTAGTATTTTTTTATAATCGTAAAAAAGTTTACGTATTTTTTGGATCATTTGAAAAGTTCAGTGTTTTTTAAATTTATTTAAAAAGTTTAATATTTTTTTTTCAAAATTCAAAAATTACCTGTGTTTTTTTTGGATTTTCTCTAATCACGTAACAGCTTAATAGTAAACATCAGCAATAATTTTCATTTGTTCGGGCAAAACAGTCCCGATATTGGTTCCTGATTCCGCCATCGTCGATCGCATGAAGAGAAGCCCAAGATATACCCTACCACATTTGTTCCTGTGATATACTTAGATTCAGATTCAACTTTTAATTTTTAGAATAATCGTAACAATTCACTTTTTTTTTTATATTAGATTCGATCTCGTGTTAAAATATCCGATTCAATTTTTACTAATAAAAATGCCGATTATTTAGAAAAATTTTCGATTAGTTTTATATTTGATAGAGTCCGAAAAATCATATTTATCAGGTTCTATTCGGATCGGTTTTATATAACCGAAACGAAATAATCACGCTAGTACCTGCCTCCCTCGCCACGCCCCGGGGGTACCCGAAGCTCAGATATTCGACCACCACGAGACCGGGAGAAGCACTTGTGACCGAAAAACCCTGATGTTCCGGGGCCGAGATCAGGTGTCTTGAAAGTATCGGGTAGAAGTGGGTACCCGTCCCACCGCCACCGCCACCAATAACACCTTCAAAGATTTAAGGGTATTCAAAAACGTTGAAGCAGAAACTATTTACAAACCGATGCATTAGAGATGTATGAACCCAGTCTCCATATGTTAAAAAGAACACAATAAAAAACGTGTCATTAAACTGATATCATATCTCAATATGAACACAACATCCTGTAATAACCACTAACCCAAAGGCAATATTCTCCTCCTATGGATGCTACATGGCATCAGGACACGACGAAGCCAAATGTGGAAAGAGAATAAAGCCCAAGAACAAGTAAAAAAAAAAAAAGATTCTTGGCTTGAGAATGCATCTTACCAGGCTTTGCTTTAGGTTTTTTTTTTTCAGTGTCTGGATTCTCTTATTCTCATTCTGCAGAATCTTGTTTCTCATTTTTTGGCTTTCCTCTGCAAGTGCAAAGAATGTAATTCCTTTGCCATTTCCCGCTTCCTGTTTTCTCTGTCCAATCCTATCTCGTTCGATTAACCAATCACGATCCAGAGACGTTGGCACAAGCCTCGAGCTAACTAACACTTCTGCTGCGTCAAGAGTTCTTTTCTGACATCAAGAGTAAAGTCAGTTACCAGAACAGAATCTGCCAAAGGGAGATGAACGTACAAGCAAGAAAGAACATATGGGTCTTCTTATAACCTTTCTTTTTACCTCAAGAGTGACATTTCAATGGAGGAAAGGAAAGAATCAGGGGATTAAAGGGTTTCGGTATTGAAAAAGAACCGTCACAACAGTAGCACAAAGGCAGAACAACAAGCTATAAAAGGCGATAATCTTCCCGCAGCATAAAAAAGGTTAAGCACTTGGTTTGCAAACCAAAGCAGTTTTAGACCAAGACCCTTGTGGAATATCATAAAGCCAGACCCTGCAGAAAAAAAAAGCATCCTCAGAATGTGGCTTGCAGAGGATAAAAATACCGAGAACTTGCAATTTTTTATCCCTAAAAGTACATCCGTAACTGTAACAGAGACTCGTTTAAATTTCAGAAAACTTGATGCCAAGAACAAACTAATTCATCAGCAACCAAGCAACAAATGCCAAGCGACAGGCAAAATTTATCAGAAACTGAGGTAAGAATAAAATCAATCCAAAGGATAGGTAATGATTTGCTCGGTTTAGCTTGATGAGATCGAAACAGATGTTTGATGCTTACAGCACATTTGATGAAGCCTCTGGGGAAGCATATTCTCACCCCACATGCTTGGAATACTTTACCCTGAAGGCCTGATTGGTTCTTCACAAACAGAATAAAGCGCAAAGATAAATCAGAACCACGAGAAATTGCAAAATGGTTGGTCCAAATAAATGCAGAGATATCATTCAAGGAACAAAAGATTTGTTTTTTTTTTTACCTTTTCCTCTCGAACATTAGACCATATTTCTACCTAAGGCATCTATCAAGCACTTAACTCTATAATGGATATATTCTCATCTGCACATAGTAGTAGCCTACAAGACTTGGCAGTTGGCATTTGGCAATTTTTTTTTGTTAACTAAGAAGTTCACCGAGCCTTTAACCCGACTACATCTCCTACAGCTCGGGAGCAACCTTTAAAGCACACCTAACTGGCGACAGGGGCCCAAAGAGCAATACCCTCTCAACCAATTAAACGACACCCCTCCCTCCCCAACAACTGGATTCGAACTAGCGATAGGGGCCCAAAGAGCAACATCATCTTAACCACTCGTCCACTACTTACTGGGTGACATTTGGCAATTGCCATCTCTATATCTTTGTCAATGCACTTATTCTATATAGCTGTGTATCATATGGGTGCAATACTCCACACTGGATAAACAACAGAAGTATAACCCCGAGTCAACATCAAAAGCAGATGCAACATGAAGATAATATCGAAAATGAGAAAACTATGAGACTAATCAATTAACAGTATATCCATATCCATGCACTAACTGTATGAAAATATAGAACATTAGACATCACCAAAATAGCTGCAGGCAAATACAGAATTAAAAAATCAGACAAAACGTGCATGCAAAGACAAACATATATAGGCATGCACAAACATGCATATACAATATATATACAAACACACATACGTGTATATGCATCCCAATTACATAGTCGTTAGATCAGACAGGGAAAGAAAATATTCATACATATCACTGTGGAGGGACCTAATGTTTTGTGCCAATCAAAGAGTGTAAATATGGGGCCCCACTTATATTATATTCTGTGGAGAGAATAAATACTAAACTTGTTGAAGGAGACTTCATGAAATATACTCTATCCGCTTTTTTCACATCCAAACAATCGTAAAGGGAAAGCATATTTCAACACAATTTTCACTTTGGTTTGGTCAAAAGGATACGATACTACATTCTCCACAACATAATCTGCAAAATCCTTTAATATCAGTAACAGCTGCCTAAAACTATCTGTAGAATCATTAGCCTCATTATGTAGCCAGAGGCCGGAAATCTCTATCAAGGAAAAATAAGTCAAGATAAATGGAAAGCATTCAGAATATTCCCATAGAGAAAGAGGGATAGAGAGGACATAGTCATGGACTTTGAAACTATCAAGGAATAGAAAAAACCAGTGGGTTCCCCAACCCAAGTTAACAAACTCTAAAAAATTTTGGGGAATGAGATACTTTTCTCTGCGAGAAGGGCAAAAGAATGCGCATATGATGCACTAAATGTGGATCAATTCTGGTATCTGATGCAAGGCTTGAATTGTGTTGAAAAGTTGTAGTCCAGAGGAATCAAGACGCTAAGAATCATATAAGAACAGAATACAATTTAAATGATAAGCACGCAAAAACAAAGCAATGACTGGACTGGTTATTCACATTCCATACCTTAATTATCTTCCTCTAAATTTGCCCTTTTTCCGTTCACTTCCTATATATAAAGCAAAGTTGCACACAACCTTTTTACTCATGAGACTGGCCTGAGAAAAAAGAACATAACTAAGAAACACAGCACAAGCTTCTTCCCAAATTGGTGGAGCTGTACCTCCAAGAATACAGCGTAGTTTATCTCTGAAACAACGGGGAAAGCAGGCTGGATTAAGGCCTAAGATCAAGTGAGGTAAAGCACTGATCAGAAAATCACTATTGTAGTTACCAGGTAAGGCTAAACTTACATTTGTCTTCTGAAGACAAGACTTACGTATTATCCCAACCAACACCAATCAAAAACTACCCTCTCTTCGCCAAGAATGCCCATCCCTTATGAAAGGCATCCATTCCTCAGAGGAGTGAATGACCCAGGAGATTCTGGACTCATCCTCTCAACTGATGCAAAGCCAAGACTAAAATGGACGCCAGATCTTCATGAGAGATTTGTCAAAGCTGTCAATCAGCTCGATGGAGCAGATAGTGAGTTATCTTATTGGCAAAAAAGAAAAAAAAAATCTTTGACGAGATGCTTCTTAGATATAATGCGTATTTTTTTTCTTTGTTTGTTACAGAGGCTACTCCTAAGGCAATCATGAAAGTTATGGGCGTTCCAGGCCTTACCTTGTACCACCTCAAGAGTCATCTTCAGGTAAGCAATCACCTCTTTGTACACAAACATGCGAAATATGCCTCTTGGTAACTTCTCCATGCGTGCTATAGACTCTTCAAAATATTTGGACATTACTGATTCGTTGGTTGTCGGTAACTGTTGCAGTAGCCCAAAAAGAATGACAAGCTAAGAACTGCAAATAATGCATTAGCTTACTTTCCATTCAGAAACGTTATTAACTTCATGATTTAACTACCAGAAATACAGGCTGAGCAAGAATCTTAATGGACAAGCTAACTACCAGAAATACCAGAAATACAGGCTGGGTAAGATCGGATTTTCATTGTACATAAATAAGAAATTGCAAACAAAAAAATCCCTGTTCTTTTTTCGAAATATTATCCTACAATCTCTGTAAAGTAACCTGATCCCTAAACGTATAGTGGCCATGGCAGAAGAAAAGAGCCACGATGCAAATGAAATTCACACCGAGAGTTTTAGCATTGGACAACCGACAGAAAAGTAAGAATATGGCTATTTGTGTGTATCTTCCAACTTATTAATTGTAAAGAAATGACCTATATTATGTTTGTGCACCCAGGAACTTACCCATAAGCGAAGCACTACAAATGCAAGTAGAGGTCCAGCAAAGGCTCCATGAGCAACTTGAGGTATCGAATAAAACATTCTGAAATTAACTCAATAAAACCTGAAAAAGGTTTCACAAGTCATGTAGTATAAAGGGAAGGAACCACGTCGGTGATGATGAATTGTTGTTCTTCATTTCGTACCGGATGGGATTAAGAAAACTAGCGCTGGTTCGCGGGTTCTAGAAAAAACTAACATTAGAGTTAGAAGATGACAGACACAGAACCATCCCTATGAAAGAAATGTATTTCTTTTCAAATAACTGGGTTACAATTAAGTAACCGCATCTGAAAGACATAACATCAGGAACTATCATGATTGTAAAGCATCAATAGAGGATAGAATAACTATCTAGACAGACAAGCACTTAGTTACATTTTCATAAAATGTTTTGAACTGAGCCAGGTACAGCGACATTTGCAGCTCAGGATAGAGGCTCACGGAAAATACCTGCAGGCGGTTTTAGAGAAAGCCCATGAGACGCTAGGAAAACAAAATTTAGGTACAGATGGGATTGAAGCTGCCAAAGTTCAACTCTCTGAACTAGCATCTAAAGTTTCAGCAGAATACTCACACACTACTTTTCAAGAACCGAAGGAACTGCAGAGTCTACACCCCCAACAGATGGAAACCTACCCTTCGGTATGCTCCTTGGATAGTAGCCTGACCTCCCGAGAGAGAAACCAAACAATCCCAAAGATTGTCGAGAACAGATTGGGACTAAGACCATATCATGGTGATTCAAAGTCCGAGCAAAAAGAGATTTCAGAACAACAGCTGTTCCAACGGTTGGAGCTTGCTTGGTCAGAAGGCCAAAGAGAGACCAGAACATATTTTTCCACAATGGTTAATGACACAGAAGCGAGAATATCTTCTTCAGAAAGAAGTCTTGGCAATTTGTCTATAGGAATAGGATTGTACGGACAGAAAGGACAAGAAAATACAGGGTACACAGAGGAAAGGACGAAAAAGGATGAAGATTGTAAGTTTGAAACCCGAAACCAAAAGGGTATGGACTCTACAACAGAGCTAGATCTTAACACTCATGGTGAGAACTACGACACAGCACGTCCTAAGCAGTTCGACTTGAATGGTTTCAGCTGGAACTGACAAGGATCATTGAAGTGAAGAGAGTCTGAAAGATCTGCAAAAATTTCTGGGTTCACCCTCAGAGTGGAAAGCTGAATCCTTTCATATCCCGTATTAGCCTGGAGAACTCGTCCAACTGGAACCTGTCAATTCAATATCTAAACAACATAGATAGAGACACCTTGAGCACAAAGTACCATGCTATTCATTTGTAAAATCTCATATAAACAGGAAATTTCATCGCCTACGTGCAGGGATCCACGTTCTTAAGTGAAGACGGCTAATAAATCATCAACAATCACACCCACATGCTTCTTGAACAAGTCTAGTAAATTTTCACAGAGTCCATATTCGGTGATGGAGTGCTGTGATAGAACTGCATTAAACCAAGTTTAGAGATTCTTTTGTGCAACCACAACAATTTCCACTCAAATCTAAGCAACAAGAACAAGCGACAAGAAATAATCCGATCATAACAAATCGTCGTCCAAAACCGATAATTTGACGTACCACTCGCAAAACAATTATACGTACCTCCATTTTGAACTTCGGTTTCCATTTCCAGAGGATTGTCCTCGATTTCACGAAGGATCCTTCATACCACTCATCTATATATACAGAGACTTTGTGTACGTTATATAGTACGAATTCCTTCTCTTCTTAATACAAGGAATTTTCGGGAAAGATACCGGAGAACGAGGTACGGCACTGTCGTCACCGGTCGCCTGTCGCCGGAGTTCGGAGAGCGTCTCGTTGAATTTTAACGGCTGCCTTTTGAAATTCGGGTCGGCTCGAGTCGGGTCGGAGCAATCCGGTAAGGAACCGCAACTTAAGAGCTACGACACCGTTTTAAGAGAAAAAAGAAAGTATTTGATTTGCCCCTTACATTTTCGTGATTGTTTATTTTCGCACCCATAACAATTTAAATGATGGGAATTAAGCTCATGATCTCTTCACATAAATGCTAGATCATATCATCAAATGAATTATGAAATTTGAATAAGACACACTTGGGAATAATGTGACATAATTATTTTTCATAAAAATAATTTTTATCTGATTAACATTTCATCAAAAATATCTAAATAATTTGTAAGATACAAAAAAAAGTGTTCATATATATATATATATATAATTGTATACTTATACATAAGTTTTAAATTTTTTTACGAACTGAAGTAAAGCAATGGTTCAATAAAAGGAACAATAGTTGATGAAACGAAAACAACAAAGGTACTGAATTTAGGATAAAATAAAAACATAGGGGGAGTTTGTAATATTTAAGAATTGGAAGATTAAAAGGTGGGTCGTGGGTATCGGACCTGGACCAATTGGGCCTGAATTGTTTGGCATTTGAGCGATCCAATCAAAATCCTACAACGGTTAGGTCATCCCCTTCTTCTTCTCCCTGCGATTTTTTCCGGAAAAAAAAAAGAACGAATCAGAATCCGATAAGTAGCAATTGTTTTTTTCAAGACCAAATTTTATTGTAAAATTCTCGAAGTGGGTTCTTCTCGGATTCTGCTGCTATGGGTGCGAGTCGCAAATTACAGGGAGAGATCGATCGGGTGTTGAAGAAGGTTCAGGAAGGCGTTGATGTGTTTGACAGCATCTGGAACAAAGTCTGTCTTCTGTCCTTTCCCCTCATCTTTTTCTGTTTTGTTTCCGGAGAACGTCATGGATAATGCAGCAGTAGAATTTCTCATGACGCATTCATATTGATTCATTCTATGTTTGGACCAAACTCACTGAACTGGTGTGATTGATACCCATGCGTTAAAGCGAGGTTCAAGTTCTTCTCGTTAGACTGGTTTTAAAAAAAAATCCATGAGACAAAATAATTAGGTAAGTGGATTTTTCTTTTTTGCCCATTTCTCAAAGCCATTCAAAGCCGAGAGATTTCAGCCCCTAACTTAATCCATTCAGTAGATTAGTCTTAATCCTATTGTTGTTTATGTTTCTTTAGTTTTGGGTTTCAGCTGGGGACAGGAAAGTTCCCAGCTTGAACACATGTTTGAATGAACCGGTGGAAGTCTGGTTTCCTTTTTTTCTTTTTTTTTGTCCCCTTAACGTTGTGAGGAAAAAAAAATGTCAGTGTGTCTTTTTCCTTTCTGGGTTCAGTTCAATCGAAGATCGATACGAGTCATGATGGTGTCTGGTATTTCTTATTTCGTCCGGAGAAAAAGAAGATGCAGAGCAGAAAGACGAGGTCTGGGTTCTGGAAAAAGACAGGACCTACTTTGGACATTAAACCTAGGAGGGGAAATCATGGTAAGATCGGTGAGAAGAAGGTTCTGGTGTTCCATAGAGGTAGAACTCCAAACGGCGTGGGAACCGAGTGGGTCATGCACGAGTATCATACCTCCTCCTTTCTTCCTGATCAGGTTCGTTCATCTAATCAAATCAAATCCCCATTTTCTTCTGGTTTTTGCTGCTTCATCTGTCGCTGATATATATCACTCTCGATCGTGTCATCCTCATCATGTGGGTGTGGTTCCGTTTGGAATCTGTTCATAATCTGATTTCACCAGCTTTCATCTTTTTCTGTATTGCTTGTTGGCTTTCGATGATGCATATATATATATGACTGGATTCGACTTTCTTGTTGTGTCAAGTCCAAGTGTTCTGTTCTAATTTTCATGTGTGTCGAATAGACAGTAAACCTCTTTTGGGTGTATTCGGTTCTCGTGATGTTGTCCCCATGGTTGCCTGAAAATGAGCTCAGAACTTAGGGTTGTTTATGTTCAAATCTATGCAAAGTTTGTTTTTTTTTTTGCACAAGTCATTTCTGTGTCTTTTTCCTTGTTTTTAAGCTTTTTTTTTTTTTTTTTTTTGGTGGGAATGTGACTGTGAGCAGGATATAACTTGACGAAGGGAGAACCTGTTTCTGGATATGTTGTTGTTTCAGGTCTATGACACCGAAAATGTGAATCAAAAGGAAAAGTTTGAGGCCGACTTGAAGAAGGAAATCAAGAAGCTGCAGCGGTATAGAGACCAGATCAAGACATGGATTCAGTCCAGTGAAATCAAAGATAAGAAAGTTAGTGCTCTTTACCTTATTTTCCCTTTTTCATTGACTTAGTAACTGTCGATCGCAAAGTATTCCGGCCGTTCAAAACAAAAGTCGTTCTGATGACAGGCATGTGCACTATAGATTTCGCTGAATTGTTAAAGTTTCTCATTAGATTTCTCTGTGTTCTTCTCGATTAGCTGATAAGTTTTGCTGCTGTAATTTCTAGTGAATGTCAGTATGTCACTCTACTTTTTATTTTCATATGTAGGGACATATGAATGCATTTGTATGGCTAGCTATCCAATAGTACACTGGCATTGTTTATCTAGAGTTACATGGTGATGATCTAAATCAACGTCATCATCTCCTTAGGTAGTTTCTAGGTAATTTAAACTTCTTGAAACACCATGCATTCGGCGGCAGCTCCAGATGGCGTTGTTTAGTTAAATAAATTTAGGTCTTTAATTTACCTGATTATATATGTACTATCAATAAGTTGTTTAAACTCGAAAGAATCTCAGTCAATTATAGAGACTGGACCAAGCAAATTTTTTGTCTGACATAGGTCAGTGCATCATATGAGCAGTCACTGGTTGATGCTCGCAAGCTTATTGAGCGGGAAATGGAAAGGTTTAAGATCTGTGAGAAAGAGACCAAGACAAAAGCTTTCTCCAAGGAAGGACTGGGCCAGCAACCTAAAACAGTGAGAACTAATCTTTATTTTACTTTTACTTTTACATTAATTTATCTATGGTGCACCCAGGAGATTTTGGAAATTCAAGTTTTAGACTGCTTATGATTATCATGAGGTAGTTGATGCTTCTAACTTTGTTTCTAGTTCAACTGTTTTAACGAGGAGAACACTGCCCAGATGTTTTAACTAAAAGAAATATGATAACTGTGATGTTGTCTTTTGTATTTGTACAGCGAATGTGTGACTTCAAACGTGTGCAATCTTTTAGAAAAACTTGGGATTTATTTTGGAAGTAGCAATATGGTGCCTACCATTTTTTTTCTCATGCTGAGAGGAAATGTTGAACAACTAATTATCGATTAGTTTCTCTTCTCTGTGCTGTATAGTCAAAGATATGAAGTAGTGGCCCCCTAACTTGTGCATGGAGTTTCTATTTAAACATTTGTGGCGGTAGTAGCTATGCTGGAAAGCTGTGTGTGAATTTAAATGCTGCTTACCTCTCCTTGTAATGGTTAGGCTACTGATTGGTCTATGTTATTGTCTGTAGGACCCAAAAGAGAAAGCAAAGGCAGAGACAAGAGATTGGTTGAACAATGTGGTGAGCAGCTGAGCTTTCATTTGTCATTTTATGAGTTCCATTTTTCTAAGCTTGTATATGTTGTATCTTACAATAGTAAACCAAATGCAGCTGAATGCATCTGTGGTAGCCCACTTATTCTTTCGATGTGTTTATGTTTCTAAGTATGTGTTTACGTTTAGGTATTCAGGTTTTGTACTACAGTAATCTGTGTATCTTTAACCAGCATTTTAGCTGCTTTAAAGCAACTCAATTATTTGCTATGAAATAGGTGAGTGAACTTGAGTCCCAGATTGATAGTTTTGAAGCTGAGTTAGAAGGACTGACCGTGAAGAAAGGAAAGACAAGGCCGCCCCGATTGGTAAGTTGTGAAAGTATGCATCTTTTGGCTTATGCGATGTGCCTTTTGTTTTAAAAAAAAATCTAATTGTGAATTATGTGGTAAAATGTGTTTTCCTCTTTCAGACACATCTAGAGACATCCATTACAAGGCATAAGGCTCATATAATAAAGTTGGAGTTGATCTTGAGGCTTCTGGACAATGATGAATTAAGTCCAGATCAGGTGAATGATGTGAAAGATTTTCTGGACGACTATGTAGAACGGAATCAGGTCAGTATCATGTCATCTTGTTTTCCTTTTCTTCTATACATGATTTGGTTACATCTAATTTGCAATCTCATTTTCCAAAATTATATTACATTTTATATGTGCTTAGATAACTTGATATTTCTCTAGGATTATTTTTAACTTTTTTTTTCTGTAGGATTATTTCGATGAATTTAGTGATGTCGATGAGCTCTATAGCACGTTGCCATTAGATAAGGTGGAAGGGCTTGAAGATCTAGTCACTGCTGGGCCTCTTGTCACGGTAATAATTTTTTGCAATTTCTCTGGTTTGGTGTTTTATCTATTCATGCACAAAAAGAAGTGTTGTATCTCATTGATGTAAGCTATGCTTCCACAGAAACTTGGGGACAATCCATTTGAATAGGATTAGGATTTGATTTTGTCATTATAAACTTAATTGTGTAGCTCAAGTTTTAACGATAGCAGTGGCATTGAATTTGTCAGGGTACCCCATTGAGCGTGAAGAACTCTTTGGCAGCATCAGCATCTCAAGTTCGCGTAAGTGTGTTTGTGTGTGTCTCTGTGCCTGGATAACATAGTTCAGCTGTTCAAGTGTGTTTCTTGGTTTGGTTTCGTTTCAGAGCATGAACTTGTCAACTCAGGGTACTTCTGAAGAGAAAGTGGAAGATGCAACTCCACAGGATAGCAGTTCTGATGTTGTTGCAAAAACTCCTCCCAAAAGTGGCACAAGCCTTCTCTCTACAGTTTCAACATCAGCTGGTGGACAAACAACTTCGAATGTTCCAGTCACTTCAACTTCTAAATCTATTCAAGCTGTTGCAGAAAGCATCAGCCATTCATCTTCACTGGCTGCCAACGAAGAAGAGGCCTCACCAATGGCTGATGCTCCTTTAAGGGGAATCAGTAGAGGTGGTACCTCGACACAGCCCCTACTAAGCATGCCATCTTCCAGTCCAGTAAATGGAACTTCTCGTGGTGTTGCTGCTTCAGCGGCTGAAGTAACAAAGAGAAATATCATGGGAGTTGAAGGCTCCGTCCCGCCTCTAACTTCACCACTAAGCAAAATTGTGTTGCCACAAACTGTCAAGGCTAATGATGGAACTGTCTCTGATAGTAATCCTGGTGATGCTGGTGCTAGCATTGGTAGAGCCTTTTCATCCTCTATTGTATCTGGTGTGCAGTGGAGGCCGGGAAGCTCCTTCCAGAGCCAGAATGAAATGGTGCGTATTTCTACTTTCTAGAGAATTTTGCATTACGTTAAGCAATACCATGTCATTCCTTTTCAGTTTATCTCCTTTATCCAGTGAATGTCAGAGAGAAAACTTCTTGGTCATTTAATGGTTAATTGTTAATTTTTCCTATAATTTGTTTTGCATTCTAACAAAACCTGAACTAGGTCCATAAGTCCATTGTTGGTAGCTGATGCTTTTCACGGTAAAATCCTACCCATATGGTTGGGTTAAGGGATCTGATCTCATGGTTTGTTAGGTGTTCCTACCATATATTTTGTAAGCTTCACAAAAACTTCCGTGTGTAAAATGATGTATTTTTTTTGCCTCAGATCCATGGGAGAGCCGAAATAGCACCAGATCAAAGAGAGAAATTCTTGCAGCGATTTCAGCAAGTACAGCAAGGCCATGGTAACTTCTTAGGCATACCTTCTCTTTCTGGAGGTAATGAGAAGCAGTTTTCTTCACAATCACAACAACAAAATCCTCTCTTGCAGCAGGTACTGCGGGGTTTTTTTCTTTTCTTTTTTCCTACTTGTTGTCCTTTATCCTGAGCAAGTTTGTTTTTTGAGCTAGTTACACGATTATGATATTTAGATCATTAGCTGGTTATGATATCCTATTTCATAAATTATTTCTCAGAGTTCATCTGTGTCACCCCATGGTGGTCTGGGAATTGCTGTTCAGGCCCCTGGTTTTAATGCGGTTGGTCATGCTACCTTACAGCAGCAGTCAAATGCCATGACTCAAACTCAACGATCCAGTCAGTTGCCGTCTGTTGCAGGTAAAATGATGTTAGTTTGTCTCAATGGGAATTAAAGTACTAGTGCCTAGTTTAAACCATGAATAGACACTTCATCTCCATGAAGAACTGCAGTAGGCTTTTTCTTTGGCAGATTAATTCAAGAATATCCAATTCTTAGTTATGTAATTTTTTGGGGTCTGGCAAGTAAAAACTGTGGAGAAATACAAAAGAATGATAGCAAAAGATTTTAAAACATGACATGGTAGTTGAAACTTGGAATCGCTTAGATGATTAAGCTCAGTTCATGGATTCATATATGGAAAGTATTGATAAGAAGAGTTAGTGTTGTATGAGACTTTAGTGATGTTCTTGATGTTTGATGCAGATGTAGATCATTCCAGAAATGATGAACAGCAGCAGCAAAACTTACCTGATGGTGCAAATGGCATAGCAACTCCAAGGAATATGTCCAATGAGGATGATTCTAAAGTACCATTTGATTACCCTGTAAGCCTTGATTTTGATCACTTATCTGGATAGCGTTAAATGCATTCATAGTGGCTCTCCTTGTTATGCTACAATATTCTTTAATTATCAGTAGGAACTGATCACATATCACTGCATTATGCTTTCTGCCAGATTGATTTCTTTTGAATTTTAAAATTTAAATAATGGAAATATTATATCTGTCTTTGTAGGTGTTGGTGAGTGTTTTATTCATTCATTCCTTTGCTTAAACTTCACATATGCAGTTCAATAGTTAATGAGATCAGTGATACACGGTGAATGGTGTTATTGGGAGTTGATAGTTGTATTCTCAAATCCAAGCTAATAACGTAAACCTCGTACTTACTCATTCTTTCTTTTCCTTAGCTACAGGCAGGAATGTCGGGGTCCTTGCCCGATTCAACGCAGGTGGTGACTGAGGATGGTCCCGATTTCTCTCCCGGGCTACCCGTGCAGCTTCCCACTCAACCTTCAAGCAGTCTCGGGGTCATTGGGCGTAGAAGTGTTGCTGATCTCGGAGCTATCGGTGATAACACCAGCGGTTCATCGTCAGGGCCAACCCGTGATCAGATGCACAATCTTCAGTTGCTCGAGGCTGCGTGCTATAGACTTCCTCAGCCGAAAGATTCAGATCCTCCTAGGCACTATTCCCCTGTATGGAATGTTTAATTCTCTTCCGCCTTTTCTTCGTGCATATACCCAGTTTATGATTGATGATCTGGTTTTCCATTTGTTTATGTACTTTCTTTATACGTTCTGAGCAGAGGAACCCAGCTCTAACACCTGCAAGCTACCCTCAAGTACAATCACCTGTCATAAATAACCCTTTGCTCTGGGAACGTTTTGGAAGCGATGCTTATGGCATCGATACTTTGTTCTTTACGTTTTACTATCAGCAGGTTAGGAAAGGATCACACTTTCTCTTTCGTCATTCTTTAATCTCTTGACATTGTCATTATATTATGTTCTTTCAACTGTAGAACACGTATCAGCAATACTTGGCTGCAAAAGAGCTGAAGAAACAGGCATGGAGATTCCATAGGAAATACAACACCTGGTTTCAAAGACATGAAGAGCCAAAGATTGCCACCGATGAGTATGAACAAGGCACTTACGTGTACTTTGATTTCCACAGCTCGAAGGACGAAACCCAGCAGGGATGGTACGTTCCTCTTGATCTTTACTGCATTTCTCAAGAGCTTTCGTCTTTACACCCGAGTAAAATTTGAAATGGTAATTCTACTCACTAGAGCTAGCTTTTCGTTCGGGTTTCTATCAGTTCTTGGTTCTGTTACCAGGCCAAGTTGCAGGAAGAGAAACAAAAAAAGAGAAGTAGGGATTCAAAGATGAACTGGATTTCGAGAGAAACATGCATAACCCTTTGATATCTTCCAGTTGCGGATTCAGTTTCAGACATATGAATAAACATAAGCAAAACAGTCCATGAATCAAATTTTCGTTAGATCCAATGCCTGAACTGTTGCTTCCGAGAAGATCCAAATTTCAGTTTTCCCTTTTTGTTGGGTTTGTCTGATTCGGGATGTCTGGTTTTTGGGTGAAAGCAGGTGCCAAAGAATCAAACACGAGTTTGCGTTCGAGTACTGTTATCTCGAGGATGAACTCGCTGTATAAAGCAGGTGTCAAAGAATCGACCGACCATTCCATCCTCTGCATTGTTTTTCTACATGTTTTGTTTATTTATTCTATAGTTGAATTGTTAATAACTTAATACTTGTTTTTTGGATTCTGAAAGAAGTCCTCATGCATTCATGGGGGAATATGTTTCTCATTTAACATTAAACAGATTTGTTAATGTGTTTCTAGAAGTGAATAGACTTTGTAATAATGATAAGCTGAAATTATAATTTTAAAATAAAATCGAGTACAAATGAATAACTAATAGAAAATGAAATGAATATTGATTTTTCATTTGAAAATCGAATCCGGGTGGCATTTAAATGGTATATTTAAAAGATAATGACAGTAACAATGAACCAATCATAATATTTTTGCATTAATTTAGGCAAAACCGGAAGTGAAAGGAAATATTAGAAGAAAAAAAAAGAAAAAAGAAAAAAAAGGAAATTTAAGAAATTACCAAGCCCGCTCTCTTTCCAACCACCAACGTTCAAATTCTTCTGCTTGGGCTCTTCGTCTGAACAGGGGCGTCGGATCGTGAAACCAAGTTTCGTTTCTTCTGGAATCTGGGCATCGAGATTCTTTTTGGATCCTCCTTCGAACGTCAAGGAGAAGGAGAAATCTACTCTTCGACCATCACAGAAAGAGCAATCTTTTGCAATCAGGTACTGATACGTTCGTCGCTGTTTCATCGACTTTCCACGCACCAAATCGGAAATCTGAAGATACCCTTTCATTAATCCCAGTATTAGATTTTCTACGGTGTAAATACTCGCTCCTTTGGCGATTTCAACCATACAGAGCAAATTTTGCTTTGAAGTTGCGATGTGTTGCTTCGTGGATTGAATTAGTTGTTTTTTAGGCATTTCGGAAGCGCCGAACGGGAAATTTTCCGTGAAACTTTATCCGGAGAATGATGCTTTTCTGTTTGGCTCGTGAGAAAATGAATAAGATCATAGGTTTAGAGATGATTTCATTTTTGGGTTCGCTTAGATGTAGTCTGGACTCTGGATTAGGTTTTCATGAAACGGGTCAAGATTGCATTCTTTCCTTATTAAAGATCTGTAGTTCCCCCGTATAAATTCAGCATCATTTAATTTGTTTTTACACTTTTGTTAAAGAGGATCCGTAGATTAGATTCTGACCTAGCATGATTTTGCATAGTGTCTTCATTGGAAACAGTGTTAAAAGCCATGGAATTTCCATAGCAGACCTGAAAGGTTATGTCGTTTCTTGAGTGGTTTAACTTTTGTTTCTCCATAAATCTCTAGTTTAGTATGATCAAGCAACCCAAGTTATGATTAACTCCGCCTAGACATTGAGTTAATCTCGGTCTCAAGTTCGGATAAAGGAGGAGGGCCGTGGTAGGTGAATACCAACGTAAAACCTAATATCATATCTCCTATGCAATGAATTCTTACGATTTTCCTGCAGAGATCATGATATTTACCTAAATGATGTTGCTTGACTGTGTTTGAAAGGGATTCAGGAGAGAAATGGGCAGAATTCCCAGTTCAGTACTTAGACAAGAGTTGGCGAAACTTGACAAAGGTCCTGACAGCTACAAGACCGCCATGAGAGCTCTGAAATCGTATGTTAAAGATCTGGATGCTAGAGCGATTGCTATGTTTGTTGCCCAAGTTTCTGAGATCAGAGAAATTGGTTATAAGCCCCGAGAGTTCACTGTTTCCCTGTTTGAGTATCTTGCCTGTGCACACGGTGTCAAAATTTACCCTCATACAGAAAACATCATGCAGGTGATCATAAGGACATTGGCCTATAGTGCAGGGTCTTTCCCTGTTCAGCAGCTGAAGAAACAGGCATGGAGATTCCATAGGAAATACAACACCTGGTTTCAAAGACATGAAGAGCCAAAGATTGCCACCGATGAGTATGAACAAGGCACTTACGTGTACTTTGATTTCCACAGCTCGAAGGACGAAACCCAGCAGGGATGGTACGTTCCTCTTGATCTTTACTGCATTTCTCAAGAGCTTTCGTCTTTACACCCGAGTAAAATTTGAAATGGTAATTCTACTCACTAGAGCTAGCTTTTCGTTCGGGTTTCTATCAGTCAGCAGGCTTGCTCCAAAGTGGTATCAGCTATTGCAAGGTATGGAATTGACCTTGGAATTCCTGAAGACAAGAAGAGGAGTATGATTCACTCCCTTTGCAAGCCGCTCTCTGACTCACTGCTGGATTCTCAAGGGCATCTTGCTCCTGGAGCTGCCGTTTGCATGAAGGCACTTGTGGACTGTGACAACTGGCGATTTGCTTCTGATGAAATGGTGAATACGGTCTGCCAAAATGTAGCCGTTACTCTTGAAGTGACTTCAAGTGAGGCTAGCTCTCATATGGAACTTGTCATGGCTCTTGCCAAGAACAACCCTTTTATCGTCGAGGCATATGCAAGATTGTTGGTGCATTCCGGTCTCAGGATTCTGGATTTGGGTGTTGCAGAGGGTAATTCTCAGAAACGGCTTTCGGCAATACAGATGTTAAACTTCCTGATGAAGAATTTGGATCCAAAGAGCATGAATTCCGAGCTTGAGTTGATACTCCAAGAGATGGAGGAGAAGTGCCGAAAAGAACCAATGCACTATGTCAAAATGGCAGCTTATGAAACTATGCAAACTGTGAAGAGACTAATGGGAGAAGGATGTTCAGAGCTTTACAGTGCTTGTGATTCATTCACCGGATCAAATTCCGGTGTAGAGAACTGTAAAAGATCACTCAGTCTAAAAGAAAACGATTCATATCGCTCAGGCAATGATGGATGGAGTGTAAATCGTAAGCACGGGAGTTGTGTCGATGTGAAAGCAGAAGATGAAGATGATTTGTTTTCAGGTGTAGCCAGTGGAAGCATTGTTGCTGGTTCTCCCCTTGTACCATATGCAGACTATACCGAAGAAATTCATGTCTCGCCAGAGAGTCCAAGAAATGGTTATCTGCAAAGAGCTAGGCCATGTCAGGTACAAACCTTTGTATATATGTATTCTCTAGTCAGAACTTTCCATCACACAAATCAAAGACTTGGCATATCATTCAGTAATAAGCTTCAATTTGCAAATCTGGTTTCAGATTCCGCAATCTCATGCAAGAAAAGCTGATGCATTCGACCTCTTGAACAATCAAAGTGACCTGAACTCTGAGTTCAGACAAGTGAGTGTCTTCAACACCAACTGGAACTCACAAGATGGATATCGGAAACATCAACAACATGGGTTTGTGCATGATCCATTTCATGAGCTAACAGAGAACAGAGAGCAGACCAATGGTACGTATGATTCCCCTTTTAATACATGTAATAATACTGGCAAGGAACCGAGGCCCGACCTGAACTCTGAAGCTAAAGTTCAAAGCGGAGTAGCAAAAGGGAGAAAGCAGAGCTCAGGCAAGAGGTTTCTCACATTGGGTTTGAGCTTCTGCTCTATTGCAGTTGCAGGGTTTGCTTCTTTAATGTGGATATATGTTCCTGATGATATGGTGATGCCTCATCCTGTTCCTACTTAAGAGTGTTCCAGATTTTTAGCAGCTTTCTTGTACTTTTTAACCACAGTGTAAACCTACTCCGTGAATGACTAACATGTGTTCTGTTCCCTTTTCTTCCCTTGTAAGAATTAGACATGCACCCACATTGGGAAAAACCCTATCCAAAAGTATCATGTGTTTTCAGACCCCAGAAGCTTGGTCCGACCCATTCAGTTCCTAAACCGGAACCAACTCAGTGAGAGCTTTTCAGTATCTCTAGTTTACCTGAACTGAGAGAGAAGAAACACAGAATCGCAAAAGCTCAGATCTTTGATGATTGAAGAGAGTTCAAGGCAATGTTTCCATTAACCAAAAGGGAACTCAGTGCTGAGAGCAAGAAAACCAAACAAAGCGACATAGAAAGGGTCTGCGTGTACAGGAAGCACAGAATTCACCCACAGAAATACCAAAATTTTCTCGGTACAGACTAATTTGGTAATAATGGACAAGCTTTCACTAAGAGAGGGTGTATACAAACTTAGTCTTCGTCCATGGCTGCAGCAGCTGCTGCATCTCTCCTTGGCCCACCTGCTGGTTTGGCCATTATAATCTGCCATTTCAGACAGAACAGTTAGATCACAAACAGAAATAATGCTCTTTGATCAATGTTCTCTCTCTCTCTCTCTCTCTCGTCCTGGCCTGCAGCAGCTGCTGCATCTCTCCTTGGCCCACCTGCTGGTTTGGCCATTATAATCTGCCATTTCAGACAGAACAGTTAGATCACAAACAGAAATAATGCTCTTTGATCAATGTTCTCTCTCTCTCTCTCTCTCTCTCTCTCTCTCACACACACACACACACACATGCTTGTTCTTACATTTGAAGTTTGGCTTCATATTTGAAATGGATGTGATTGACTAATGATGGAATGAGTTTTACCTATATTTGAAATGATTCATGCACAATAACATCACAACAGGAGAAAGCAATGTATATATACCTGGTCAACTCGTAGCACAGTGCAGGCAGCATCCGCAGCATACTTGAGTGCAAAAACCCTGCATGAGAATTTCATAACACAATTAAACTCTCTTGTCCATGAATGGGTAAAAACATCTGTTCAAACGATCATTGTGACAGTATGTGGCTAGAGATCCAACAGCGGAACGAGGGTTTTGAAGAAACTTACTTCGTAACGTACAGATCCCATACATTCATCTCTGAAGCGTCTTTACAAACACCTTCCTCCAAATCAATGCCCAATTTCGTGTTTCCAGATCCGTGTCCAGTGTAGAGTGAGGATATTATCTCCATTGCATTGAGGCCAGCATTATCCGCAAGGGTTTTTGGCACAAACTCAAAGCTCTCAGCGAATTTGGAGACGGCATATTTGTCCAACCTAAACATCAAATGAGAGATTTAATCTGAAACCCAAACTTAGCAGAATCATAGGCAGTTTTGCATTCAAAGTAACATATTTCCTGAAGTTGCAACTCGGAAACGTAAACCAGATGGGACTGTAAGAAAATTCAAGAAAACAAAGTATAAAGCAGATACCCTGTCTCTGCATTAGCATATTCCTTCAATCTTTGAGCCAACTCAATTTCAGTAGCTGCAGCTCCAGGAACTGTGCGGCTGTCTCTGCACATAGCCTGAGCAGAAAAGCATAAAAACATCGTGAAGATCAGCATAAGGTGTTGGTAAGAACAGAGGAAAAACTTAACTGACAGGACAGAAGAAATCAAAATCATGAAGATATTACCTTGTATGTATTAACTCCATCGTCCACTGCTCTTTCAAGGTCGTCCAATATGCTGTCTGTACTTCCTCGCAGAACCACTGTAGAGATGGAGTTACCACCCTCCTCATTTCTTGCAATGGTGACCTATGAAATTATTGCAAAGGGAGAAAGAAACACTAAGTGGAAAAAGATAAAACAGCTTTAACATAACAAACAATCGACTTGAGGAATACTCACTGTTACACCGCCAATTTCCTCAACTGATACAGAATCAACATATCCCAGGTCATCTGGGCTCGGTCGGCTAAGCTTCAACTGTTAGATAAGGAAATAAAAAAGTTACTAACCAGCTTACATGCAAATATATACAATGAAAGATGGTCCACAAACACTTACATGGGCGACAGCCCCTGTTGTCCGGCAGAAACGTCGCAATTCAAACTTTGAGCTGATTTTCAAGACCATCAACCTGAAAATAAAAGATTGTGTGTAATGGAGATGACAGTAAGATAAAGTATCAGAACTCGTAGAGAGTGTGCGACGAAATGAAAATTAAAGAAATTGTCGTATAACAGGCTATCCTCATACTTGTAGCGCTCACAGAAATGTAATGCCATTTCTCCAACCGGTCCTCCACTAACAATGACTTTGGCCCCTGATTCAGCGACAGCCTTGATTAATTCTTCAACTTTAGCTTCCTCTGTTTTCGCATAGTTTTCTAGCTACAAAACCAAACAAGAGAGTTAATTAAAATATGCAGACAAGCAAAAACCATGGCTAGTGCTCAGGTATGATAAAGTGAAAACCGAGTTCCGAAAGAAGATATGGACATGACCATGATAAGACATGTTTCACATACACTATCACAAACCAAATTTATAATATAGATACAAAAGAATGAAATACAAAATGCAAGAAAGAAGACATCAAAACCTATCTCAAAGACATTGTTGACAAGGAACCCTCATCCTGTTTTACCCAGTCACATTGAAACTTTTGAAAGAAAACAATGGAGAATCGCCCGAATGCAATAGACAGAAAAGAAAAACCAACTTGCTCTGCGCTGTGAATCAGGACAGTTCCCTTTGTCTCAGTTGCAGTAGTATCAACACCACCAGCAAACACAGCAACCTGAAATCAGAACATTCATAAATCAGAACCAGAAAAGAAAAAAAAAGGAGCAACAGAGCAATACATACGAGAGGCAAGATAAAAGATTAAATCAGAGGAAAGAACCGACACAACAGAGAACAGAATAGAATATCAGTTCTCACCTTTGCCTTCTCCATTAGCTTTATGCTCCCAACAGCATCAGTTTTCAAGACCATACCACGAACTATAGCGGAATTGTGCAGTCCTCCTCCCACAAGCTTCGCAACACGGACATTGTCCACATTGAAGTTAGCTGGATTCTTGGGACACACTTGAATGCATGCCTAAGAGTTAGATAAACAAATCAACCAAAAAATCACTCAGACAAAACCCTGCAGAAATAACAGCCTCGACAATAAACCAATAACCAATGAGAAAGGAGCAGATAAACATACTTACATCAGCAACTAAAGAACACAAGATATCCTCTTGCCCAAATTGCTTGCTTGCAACAGCTGCTCTCATCCGAGAAATAACTTGAACCTTGTCACGCACATCCATATTTTCAGAACCCGGTTCGACCAGTTGTTCCAAAAACTCAACAGCCTGCATACAACCAATATTTAGAGAAGAAAAAGACTGGAACAAATGTTGATGGACTGTATAGCACAATGAGAGGAAAGCCACATGGTGAAGTATATACACCAACCTTATTGATTCCTTTTGTGTATCCACTAATAATCTCACTTGGATGCAGTCCCATCCTGATAAGCTCCCCAGCATTTTGAAGGAGCTCCCCAGCAAACGAAATAGTCAAATTGGCTCCGTCTCCAATTTCTTCCTGTTGAGCCTTGGCAGCCAACACAAGAATTTTTGCAGCCGGGTGCTGAACCTCCAATTCATTCACAATAGTCGCAGCATCATTTGTGACAAATAGCTTGTCTAAGTGATTGATAACCATTTTATTCATACCTAAATATCAGAAAACCAAGAGATTAGATTGAGTAAAAAATGATATCAAGGGATTTATCCTAAACTGTGCAGTCCACAGTGCTCAAAATATATGCCATACAGATCGGAGTTCAATCTGGATCCTCACTCAAACCAAAACCTCCATAAAATATACAACATAGGCCTGCTAGCATTTTGGAACAACAAAATCAAAGTACAAGCGCTTACACAGCACTAAACTATAAAAAGCGTGAATGTCATATCCAACAAATTTTACGAGAAAAGACTAGATAAGACCATCCTGGCGACGAGATTAAACTGATAGAACAACCAAGATGGAAAGATATGAGATAGGCATAGGCTGGAAAGTTTTTGGTGCGAGATGCCAAACTTTCAGCACATTTATTACAAATCCAGAAAATTAAGAACAATTACTTCGTCGGAATGAACGATAATCATCTTAATCATTCCTAAACATCAGATAACATGAAAGCAGGAAACTTTCATGACCAATACATAAGTGCAAAACGAAACCCAGCTCAGATTCGAATCGAAGTTCCAAAACGAGAACAAAAAAAAAAAGGAATACCATTTAACAGAAATGAACAATGTGAGATCCCATATCGAACCGCTAATCACTCAAAAAGAGCTCAAGAGGCAAAAAAAAAAGATCCACATTCGAGACAAGGCATCAGATCAGCTACTGAAGCCATTTCGTTTCAAAGCAGAACACAAGCAAAACGTCGCCGAACCAAAAAGAAATGGAAAACAAAATCCCAGAGAAGATTGAAACACTGTCCGAGGGCGTACCATTGGGACCGATAGAGGTGCGGGTAATGGTGGAGAGCTCCTTGCAGGCGTCGATGTTTTTTATAACCGCCTCGTCGAGGCCGGAAAGATGTCTGTAACCTTCTTTGAGCATGGATTGGATACCGTACGGCTGCATAGAGAAACCCATTTTCTCCGGCGACGATCTGAGTCTTCTCTTCAGGCAAGGGAGCAAAAAAAACCCTAGAACTCCAAGCGAGGAGCTTTCTGTACCTTTTGTTTGTAAGAGAAAACTCTGAAGTGGCCGGAATGCCCCTGAAAACCCTTCCGGATTTCAAATATTTATTTTTCAATTCGACTGGTCCAAACGTCGTCGTTTTAGCTCTGAAAAAAGGACCATCATGATAATCAAAATATTATTAGGGAGAAAAATAAGATCATGGAAAAGGTGAAGTGCCAATATTGCAAATTCTGGGAAGTTATACTTTTTTTTCGTCTATGTAATTTTTTTTGGAGAAAGAATATAAAACTCAAAACCCGAATTTTTTTTTAAAATTTAAATTAAGGACTCTCGGGTTTGGTTTAATGTCCTGCAAAATTCCCGGTTAATTGAACCGTGTCCGGTCTAACAATATTATTTGCTTCCTTCGCCTTCCAAAACCCTAAAACCCTCTGAGCGAGAGAGGCGGAGAGTATCACCTGTATTTGCGTCTCCGTCAAAGGATCGAAAATGCGACCACCGAGAGGCGGCGGAGGAGGATTTAGGGGCGGAAGAGGAGGAAGAGATGGCGGCGGAAGAGGCGGGCGCTTCGGCGGTGGAAGAGGTGGACGCTTCGGTGGCGGCGCTCGTTTCGATGAAGGGCCACCTAGCGAAGTCATCGGTGGGTTTCTATTTCTTTGAGTCTCTTTTGTTTTGTTTAGTTTAGTGTACTTTTTGGTTTGTTCGTTGCTGTTTGGTTTCGAAGAAAGTGGAAGAATTTACATGGAAAAGGTTTCGAGTTTTTGTGTTTCCTCGGAGCTTTGACATTGATGAACTGATTCCTGCAACTCTTAGCTTAGAAAATAGTAAACCAGACGAGAAAAAGTTGGACTCTTTTTATGCATTTCTCATTTGATGGGCCATTTCCTGCGGATGCGGCTGCAGTTTCTCCTTTTGGTACCTCCTGTTTGTGTGCAGAGTGAATAAAAGAACAAACCTAGAAAGTTTTGATCTTGGCTGGATTTCTTGGAGATTAGACGATCATTACATTAGAAAGTGTATTTTTGTCTTTGTTGCTTTGTTCTTGATAAATGAAGGGGGCAATAATGACAGTTTTTACAGTTGTTGTAGTATCTGAACAAATCAGTTTTATTGTAAAAAAATGCTAAGGAGTAATCTATTGATGAGCTGTTGTCTTGGTGGTGTTACAAAGTAAAAGAGGTTTAATGGAAGATGAGTATATTTGAGAGAACCTGTAAGGTAGGATGTAATCCGACATAGTAGCAATGCCCTTGTGAACAAATCTTCTTGACTCCATTGTAATGAGGCTTCTTTCTTGGTTTATAGAGGTTTCAACATTTCTCCACGCATGCGAGGGTGATGCTGTGACCAAGCTCACGAATGAGAAAATCCCATATTTCAATGCCCCGATCTACCTGCAGAACAAGACTCAGATAGGGAAAGTAGATGAGATTTTCGGTCCAATCAATGAATCTGTAAGTTATTTCTCCTGAACTCTTTCCTTCTTGTATCCTCTCAAAATTCTAGAGCTACTTCACATTTATGTGATTGGGGCTTAATTTGTTCTTTTGCAGTTATTTTCTGTCAAAGTGATGGAAGGTATAGTAGCTACGTCCTATTCCCCCGGGGATAAGTTCTACATCGACCCAGCTAAGCTCTTGCCTCTGGCAAGGTTCCTTCCGCAACCTAAGTGAGTCACACTCCTTAACCAATAACCATTGATTAAACTACTTCTTATTCTTCTGGACGTCTTTCATGAAATTCCGGTTGATATTCTGCATAATGTTACATGCATTTATGCTGTCATTTACCAATTATCGGTTTGCTTTTCGTGAGCCTACTTCTTGCAATAGACGAGATGTTTATGCTGGTAAAAATTCATAATGGAACATCATTTTCTTGCAGGGGGGCTCAAATGGCTGGAAGAGGCGGTGGTCGTGGAGGAGGAAGAGGCGGTGGAAGAGGTGGTGGTCGTGGTGGAGGGTCATTCAGAGGGAGAGGTGGTCCAAGGGGTGGCAGAGGTGGTCCCCCACGCGGCGGTGGTCGTGGTGGTGGCTTCAGAGGCCGAGGGAGGGGATAAAATTAGTGTTATCTGACCTCACTTGTAGCGTTTTTTATCTCCTTGGATCATGACTATGTTTCAGAACCATGATGTTGACCATATCAAGCTTTAATTCATCAATGGAGTAAAAGTGCATCAATTACCAGCTTTTTTTATATGACACAAAAGGAATGGGTTCATTCTGCAATTTCTTGCTGTAGAACTCACAAAAGCACCTGCCTTTATTGAAATTTATTGGAAACTTGTGAGAAGTAGAGAAACTGACAATAAAGAAGCATAATCTTTAGTTCTTCTTAGTTTCCTCTGATGTAGGTAGGAGGATGACCAAACCAAGAAATCTTGAGAGACAAAAAAAACATAAATGACAAGTCTTATTTTCTGGGGTAACACAATTCTCAAGCTCCCCACCCTCTGAGAAGGGTGGCCCGAGCCACGCGGTTAACACCAAGGGTGAAGGCTCCCATACGAAGATCGCAGCTGTGGGTTTTGCACATCCCTTTCAAGTCCTTGAACCCACGAGTCATGTAAGTCCTCAGCTCCTCGTTCACCTTTTCCTCATCCCACATGAACCCTTGTATGTTCTGCAAAATTTGATCCAACCATTCAGACAACAGAAACGAAAACCAGATGTTGGTGACCTTGACCCGTCTGTCTAGTTATCAGCTTTAGTTTAGGTTTTGTCCTGACATGCTCAGTTAAGGGTCATACCTGAACCCACTCGAAATAACTAACGGTTACTCCTCCTGAGTTCGCGTATATATCTGGGAGAATCACAACACCTTTCTTCGTCAATATCTGCGTAAAAAGATTGAAAAAAGGATCACCCTTTTGCACAGAAGTTTAAGAAATAGGAAGAAGGAGAGGAAGAAGAACTATAACCGAAAAAAGGATCATCCTTTTGGAGGGCAAGACATGGAATAGAAGTTTAAGGAGTAGGAAGAAAGAGACAAAGGAGAACTATAATCTAACCTCATCTGCCTCAGGATCAGTTGGATGGTTGGCAGCTTCGATTATGAACTTGGCTTTGATATCATTTGCGTTTTCCCTTGCACCAAAAAAAACTCAAGTTTCAGAAGAAAGTTTTTTCAGCACCCAACAACAAATGAATAGAAAAGTACCGGTGTTGCAAGAAACTAAACCTGCTGATGACACCGCCTAGTGCTGCAGGGATGAGGATATCACAATCTTCAACCAAAATCGATTTTGGATCGATTGGATCTGCTCCATCAAAGCCCTTCACACCTTTGTTTTCTGTAGTATGCTTCAGCAGGCTCGGGATATCGATTCCATTCTTGTTCTTGATTGCGCCTGTAATGTCGCTTACTGCAACAATCTTTCCACCCTGTTCACTGATAAGCTTCGCCGCCCAGGAACCCACGTTTCCGAAACCCTGAAGACGTTATTCAAAGATATTACAGTGCTGTCGAGTTGCTTTCATCGCAAGAAACCGTATCGAAGAAAGGGTCGGTTTTTATCTGATTAAGCATTTACCTGGATCACAAATCTCTGCCCAGCTATGGTCTTCCCGTGCTCGTTGAGCAGAGCTTCAGTGGCAAAGAGCACTCCTCTTCCAGTAGCAGCATCTCTTCCTAGAGATCCACCAAGATCCTGCTCAAACATCAAGATCAATCAGATATAGTTTCAGAAGAAGTCTAAACCGATGTCGCATGACCGATGAGGTTGGCAAACTCAGAGATCCGAATCCTTCACTTACGATTGGTTTCCCAGTCACAACGGCGGGAGAATGCCCGTGGAACTTGGAATACTCGAAAAAAACCAAAGCCATAGTCTGCAATTTTCATCATTCCAAAACCAGATTCACACAAGAACAAGAACCCGAGAAAGGCAAGGGGAAGCCAAAGAAGAATCAAGAAAAGCCATGGGAACTACTGTCAAACCTGAGGTCCAGTGCCCATGTCGGGAGCAGGGACATCGGTGTGAATGCCGATGAGATCATGGATTTTCTGAGTGAAAACACGAGTCAACCTCTCGAGCTCCGAGATGCTGAGCTCACTCGGGTCACAGCCGATCCCTCCCTTGGCTCCACCGTACGGAATCTTGGCCACCGCTGTCTTCCATGTCATGAGCTGAGCCAATGCATTCACTTCATCTGGATCCACCTTCGTTTATACCAAACCCAAAAAACCCATTTCAGATTCCACTTTCTGAGTATATATAGTATTAATTTGGAGGAAAAGAACATATAAAAGCAGACCTCAGGATGATATCTGATGCCACCTTTCATTGGACCTCTTGCATTGTCGTGCTGAACTCTAAACCCAACAAATGATGCCAATGTCCCATCATCCTTCGGTATGGTACATTCCACCTTCAAAATTAAATAAAAATTAAAAAAATATATATATATTATTCAATGAGTTCAATACTTCACAAATCTTTATCCAGAAACCAACATATAAACTGGAAAGAAAGACACATTAGGCCAAATGACAGCACGATTTCGTGTTTTACTGTATCCCATTAGGCCTTTTACCAGTACAAATCCAAAACCAAACCGGTCCGGTTCGGTTAACCATTCCGACACACCAGGGGCAATTTCGGAATACAAAAATCTTAAAGCCGGCGGCGGCGGCGGCGGTGGCAACTGAACCGGAAGAAACTCGACTGCCCTAAGGGATCGGGAGATTGAGTGACGAACTAAGATTTTTGTGGCGATCGGACAAATTTGCAGGGCAGAAGGAAAAATTGGAAACCTTGATTTCTCTGAAGGGAATAAGGAGACTTCTCTCGAGCTTTGAATCCAAACCCAGAAGCCTTGACGCCAGTTTGAAGTTTCTGTTAGTTGCTGCTAATGCATTCATGGCTTCTTCTTCGTCTTCCTCCTCTCGCTTTCTCTTTTGTTTTTTCTTTTTTCTGGGCTTTGATCCGGAAAACGAGGTGGGTGTCTCTACGGATGCGAGTATATCTATATATACACACACATAGAGAGTGTGTGCGTATATATGTACGTGTTTTGTGGAGGCTAGATTCCTTGAGCTATGAAAGAGAGAGTAGTTTCCTATCATCGATCTTGAATTTAGTATTTATATATTATAGAATATAAATAAATAAAATTTGATATTGTTAATTCTTGTAATAATGGAACCAATATGATATAATAATTACTGCATAATTCATTCTTGCAGAATATTCGAATGATAAATGCGGATTTATGGGTTAATGAAAATAAAATCAGATCACTAAAAAAAAGGGTAATGTAGATATTCTACGGAATGGAATGGTAATTACTAATTACGAGAAAAAGAATTGGATGATTTTGAAATGTATTCTCTCTCTTTTTTAAAAAAATTGTGGATTTTGGAAATAATTTCCCGAAATATAAATGTTAATAGAATATTATCTTATGACCATATGTCATAAATTCAATCGAGTCAAATACTTCGCACTCAATCAAGTAGCGACGTATTCTAATTCAAGTGGGACAAGGAAATGTGACAATTTGACCATACATTATTTCAAATATATTGTGTGGGTCCACCAAGAAAATGTACCTTGATAGACAAAGGCTAGTTTAGTTTCTCTTGCAATTATATACCCATTATGAACTTTATTTATAGTGTCAGATCCAATCGAGTAATCTTTTTCTGGAAAGTGCTGCCATGTTCTTCCTTGTCAAATGAAAATATATATATATATATATATATATATATATATATATATATATATTCACAGTATTCACATTGACTACTAAGTATTACATTAATAGATGAAGTCTGTGACTCTTGGATAAATATATAAATTATTTTTCTCCCAACTAAATATATTATCTATTTAAAATTACATATATAAATAAACAAGTTTCAAGATATTATCGAATACTTATAGTAAATTAAAATAATAAGAATATTAAACCTTGTTAAGAAAATCAGTAACATTTTTAAAGGTTTTAATTTGATATATTTTAACACCGTTAATATTTCAATGAAAACGTTGTAATATTTTAAAAATTAATGCATTTATGTGTAAATTAAAATAGTTGATGTGTTTATGTAAAAAAAATATGCACCTACATATTAAAAAAAATCATAATTCCATACATATTGGTATAATATTTTCATAAATTTATTTTGTGCCGCCAAAAACCTTCCAAGAATACTTATACCTTACAAAAGAATACTTGTACGTTCGTACGCGGAGAATGTGACATACACATACGTATACGCTTAGTTTTTATACACTCTCTTATATATATATATATATATATACGTTTTATAGATATTAATATGTAATTTTATAGAGAAGAGTTATACTTAGATGCGAACTGCACTAGACAGAACCTACACATCATTCCATTGTCCATTAGACAGTGGAAACGTATGTCACGAAATATTTCATATTCTTTTGGTTTAATTCGAAAGTATCACCCCAACAGTATTTGGTTCGGTAACAGTTCGGTTCGCTTATTTCGGTTTTATAAAAATATGTATCAATCGATTCATATTTTATATTCTGTTCCGGTTTTTTTATTAAAAATAAAATTCGGTTTTGAAAAAATGGGAGTTTATGATTGTCAATAACTACTATACTGTTTAATATTACATTAAAAATCATTTTAGAATATTTGTGATAGGCTTTTTGAAATTTAATTCGGATATCGAATTGTATTATTCATATATATTGGAAAAAAATTAAAAATATCCAACAATATTGGATTTAATCAAAAGGCTGCAATGACCTTATATATAAATCATTACTAAACGAATATTTCGATCACTCCTAGTAGATATTACATATTTGTAACATGGAACAAAAGGGAAAAGGAATCCTTTAAACAATAATTAATTATGAGTTTAATTACCCAGCAAAAATAGTACTAATTACAAATCGTACACATAATTAAAAGTTTATGAAGTAGTTAATCATACGAAGGAATATTCTTCCGATTCCGCAACCCCCAAAAAAAAAACGAATCTTGCGTGCATTAAGACATTCCGTATCAACAAATCCTTAGTTCTATATATATCCTCTGGATCGAATGCTCGAATTTATTCTTCCTATATTGCGATACTCAATTATATATACACATATATATGATCATTTTTTGATATATTTCCTTTTGTTTTCTACAATTTTTAAATTATATATATATATATATATATATATATATTCACGATTTGTTTTGTTACAAAATCTAAATTTGATCTCCAATATATACTCTACACGCACGCTCGATTTCTTAATTGAAATATAAAACGAATATGTCTATCCTTATAACCAAACAAACATCCGTTAACTTATCTGTAAATGATGATTTTTTCGTATACAACTCGTATATAAGCCCGCGCGCTTCGGAATGTATGTGTGTGTGTGTGTATGTACGTGTGTATGTATGTATGTATGTATGTATGTATGTATGTATGTATGTATGTATGTATGTATGTATGTATGTATGTATGTATGTATGTATGTATGTATGTATGTATGTATGTATGTATGTATGTATGTATGTATGTATGTACGTATGTATGTATGTATGTACGTATGTATGTATGTATGTATGTATGTATGAGTTGATAATGCAACGTTGAGGACAGTGAATGGTTGTATAGTCATGCACCATCAAGCACAAATCTCTTTATAAGTTATCATAATTGAAGTCTACATGTAAGCAATTCTTCTATATCCAATAACATATACTTTATTATGTCACAGAATATTATCAAAGATAGGTATAGTTTAAAGCTTAGAATTAAAATATAAAAACTAAACTAAATCTTAAATATATGACAATATCGGCTAGCCTTTTAATTTTATTTTCTTTATTTACTATATGTTATATGTTGTTATATCATACTATATGTTATATAAGTTGCAGAGATGATAGATATTGGCTTCTTAGAGTTCTAATGGCCACTTAATGATTTGATGATCCAAGATGGTACGTCTTAAAAGCAGATAATATTTGCTTCTTCGGAAATGGTTCGGGTCAAGTTCTATAACATATTCTATAATATAATATTATAATATCCTCAACCACAATTATATATTATTATTTTTATTGACTAACCTTTCATATATATTTTTTAAAAAAATATTGTTCGGTGTGTTTCACGAGGAATCGCATTCGGGTATTGAGAATTAGATCGTTATATTAACAAAAAAATATAAATAAAAATAGAAGATTCGATGGAAAAGTGAGTGTCACTAAGAAATGAATAGTGAAGACGTTTTATTTTAGCAAATATATATATATATATATATATATATATAAGAGTGATGACATCACTAAAGAAACATTTCTCTTTCGGCTGAAGAATAATGTTTGTCCAATCATTTTTTTCCCACTGCCTTTTGATATATTTTGTATAAACTTTTAAAATTGATTAAATTTCTTTTTTCAATCGATTTTTGTTGGACTTGGATTTTATCCGAAATCCATTTATATTTATTTATTTTAATTAATTTGGATTTAGATAATATTATCTAATTTGATTCTAGACAAGATTTGATTATATATTAGTAACATTTATATCCGGAATATAATTTATATCATTATAATATATTCATCCTAATAACATCATTGATAAATATTACATCATCACATTGAAACCGTATCTATACATACACATATGCATACGAATATTAGTGTGTCAGACTAATTCAAATACGTAACGTATAAAAGATTACTTTCATTACGTGAAAAAAGATAACACAACAAATGAAGAAAACACGAGTAGGAGATCCACCGATTAAAGAATCTTGAGGGGAATCTTTCTGCTTTATGTCTCTCTATCAAGAATCCATTGATCCTTTTTTTAACGCTTTTATTGTTTGTAAATATATATCGCTGAAAATATATAAATATGTACAAATTATTTCACACATTTTTTTAGATGAAAATAATTATTTTACTGATTTTTGACTGGGCTCGATATGAATCAACTCTGAAGCCCATTGTTCTTCTCACCCGTGGGCAAAATACCCATATCCGAAATAATCGAACCGAACCTGATCGATATATATCCGAATTGAACCGAACCGATTAAAATAACATATCTGATTAGATGTAAATATTTCAAATCCGAAATACTCGAATCCGAAATAACCGTAAACCGAATAAACCGAACCCAAATTAACCGTAATCGAATATATCTGTTTATCCATCCATATATCATCAATTAATATGTAATATATTCTAAATCTAATTAGAAAAAATTAGTATAATGATATTATTTTATAATCATGGTATATAAAAAAAATATGCATATATTTTAATGTTGTTTTTGTTATTTTTATAAGATAATTGTTTGAATTTTTTTATCGTTTTTTTGATTGGATATCCCAAACCGAATCCGATCCGATCTAATTACAAAAATATAACCGATTAGATATGAATATTTCAAATCTGAAATACCGAAACTCGAAATAACCGAAATCGTCCGAACACCCATCCTAGTTCTTCTTTGCCAATTAAGCCCAACTAAAATTGGGTTTTAATTAAATATTATTTTAATTAATATTTCGCTGCGTGTTTTTTTTTGTGCTCCATTTAGAAAAAATGGATTATTTAATATTTTTGCGTTTTGAATTTTTCGTAAATCATGGAATCCATTTTTTGGAATTAAACTTTAGATGTACCTTTTTACCATTTTTTGTGATTTGTATTTGTAAATACATTAAAATAATAATGTGAAACCTATTTTCTCCATCAATATTTTTTTTTATAAACAAAATTTGGAGAATTTCTAACTCTCTCTCCAAACCTCTAATCTTTTTATTACACACCTAACCTGTTCTTAACAAAACACAATACAAACTCTCTCTGGAAACTCTAATCACAGACAGCAATTTAAACTCATAATCTAAGAATAAGATTTAACTAAATGAATATAGAATTTTGATTTATTTTAAATTTTACAGTAAACATCTACAGATCCATAATCTCAATCTGACTTTGAACAAGAGCTGCTATAACTCAGCTTGATGCCTGGAAAATGGATTATAATCCTTCCTCACTCCCCACCATGATGCCTTTTAATCCTCTTCGTCTCTGAAACATGCAGAGTAGAGAGTTTCTGAATAGTTTCAGAGACACCATTGATGTCCTTTCTCTGTTGTATTCAATATATATATATATGATGGATAGGTTTGGACATAACTAGTTACCAGTTTTACCTTGTTAGATCTCTTCTTTTCCCTAACATCGTATCTGTCTGGACACAGATCACTTAACCATGCTCCTGGGCTCACCAGCTGCAGTTTCCAACATAACTTTTATTCAGTTGAAATAAAAAAGCGAAACAGAAGAGAGTGTATTACACTATTTTCAACAGTGATCAAGAACTAAACTTGAGCACAATCATCGAACCCCATCATCTTTTTACTTCAAAGAATTCAACTTTCTGAAGTTCAAATCAGCTTGGCAAGTTGCGCTAAGAGAAAAACACGACTTGGCAAGTTTCGCACAAAACAGCTGCAAAAGTTTTATCAACTAAAGCTTCAATCAGGTGGTGAAAAAATAACAAAGAAGAATCCTTCCATCAAGCTTAACAATCAGTAAGATTCAGAGCCATTTGCGGAACAAGGTACCGAGAACTTGGTTTTCAACTTGGGGGAAATGACTTAGAAATGGCAAGTTTGAATCTTGAGAGATAGAGTTTGCTTACGAGTAAGGTTCTTTGGACGAATTTGGTCCTCTTCTTAGGTCTTTGAGGTGGTTTGCAACCTTTCATAGCCATGAAATCTTCTTCTTTCTCTTTGCTCGAAAGTGTTACATACAACTTTGGCACTCACAACCTTTTCCTGTGTTTTTGTCTTCTCCATTGTTGTCATCCAAGCAAACTTTTCCATTGTTATCCACCGACCCTCTTGTCAGATAACATCTCTCGTCTTTTTCCGACAGATATACCCTAACTGGTTGCTGGCATTTGGGCTCATCGGATCTCACGATTGCCGCCTCTGTACCCCTGCAAACCAAAAACCCACCAAGAAATTTTGGAAAAGAATGCCTCAGTAGGCTGTCAAAGATGGCTTAAGACAATTCCAAAAACTCCACAATCAATTTCAGAGATCCTCGTTAGGTTTCCTCCTTCCTTGAAAATCCTCCACAATCTGCAGACTCTTAAGCCAACCTTCAATCAATTTTCGCAAGAATAAACTAAAATCTCTCTGATTCTTACTTGACGAAACGGTTAGACCGGAGAACAAACGTTTCATTATCTAGAACCCGAGAAGGGATTCTTCTGTGGAGTACACAGTTAGGTCTAGATGAGATCTGTCGGTCCTTCGCCCTCAGACATCTCAGCCTCTTCCTCTTTCCCCACTGTAAGAAAGTCCCTGGCCCTAAGGATGATGTTCTGCAACTTCTCTTTCTCTTCCCTTCCATTTCCTGGGAGAATTCACGTCCCCTGGAAATTAGGAGAAGAAAATTGTGAATTACCATGATAGGAAACGTTGTTGAATGATGCGCAGATATCGATACAGGTCAGGATGAAAATCCCAGTAAAATGCGAGATTTCGAAAACTTAGCATCAATTTTAACAAGACTAAAAAACCTCTCTGAAAGAACTCAAACTCCGGAAAACGCAGATTTGTGTCCGAGGGGATTCTGTGCTTACCTTTCTCAAGGAAGACAATTGCGCCGAAGAATCTGACAGGGAACTCAGATCGATGACTTCTCCGACCAGGAAATTCTTACCGGCGAACTTTCAATCGAATCGAATCGAAACTCCGATATGAATCTGAAAGGGAAACGCCTCGCAATCTCTGTGTGTTCGGTTTCATGTGATTTATTTACATCCATTGCAGCTTCCGTAGAGATATTAGGAGCCGTCGGATTGAAAACATTGGACGGTCAGGATTGAAGGGTGTGGGAGGGGCGCTCCTCTACTAGTACTGTTTAAATTTTAAATTTCTCCCGTAAAACCCATAGTAAATTACCCTAATTAAATAGTTTAATACTGTGATTAAGTGAGAATTCGGGAAAAAAAAACATTAAAAAAAATACTTTTAAAGTTTAGATATGTTATTGTCTAAGTCATCCATATCCATACTACCGCATAGTTTTAGTAATGATCATAATTAATTGATTAAATAATTCATAATAAAATGAAGGTGCACCTCATCTTCTTTTTTATTTAGTTTAAAAATAATCATCAGTCTCTTTAGTACTGTGAACAAGTTCTTTTGGGCCTTAATGGGCCTTAAACATGGGTCCATATGTGGTTTGATGTATTCGGCCCATTTAGAGGGCCCATTGGCAAGTCAATCTTCAAAGTAAAAAAGAATGAGCACCCAAGATCTAATATAAGACCACATCACATCATATTATATATATATATATATATATAAGAATACGTATATGAATGCTTTTACGTGTATAGTCTGTATAACTACACCTTGTTTTTTTCAAAGCTCAAGTCTCTAACGTATATACGAAAATATCTTCAAGTATGATAAGCCTGCCTTTCGTAATCGTATTATATATCATACCCACAGTGTCATGATCGTCATCGTCATCAATGGCGATTTTAGGCGTTCACATAGACGTATAACCAAAAATATATAACTGTTGCCCACACGTTACAAGGAAGTCACGTTTTGTCCGTACAGTAAACAACTCATATATATATGTGTGTGTGTGTGTATGTATATATATATATATATAATGATTTCAAAGAGGACCATTAATTAATTGTAGAAGCGACGGAGAGAGATTTGGGCTCTTACGAGAGGGACTCCTTTCATCACAGAAATTGCGTCATTCAGCTTCGTTTCACGTCGGACCCTCTGCATGCATGTTCACATTCAATATCCATATCTTTTAAATTTCGTTTGAAAAAAAAAAGCATATATATATATATATAACAAAACGTTAAAATTATAAAATATACAATCACATAAAAACATGTCCATCACTTTATCAATAACAATGATCAATGATAAAGAGATTAGAGTAAGGGTACGAGGGTTTGGGTTTAAAATTTCGATTCCTATAATTTATGATCAATTTTTTAAAGTTTAGGGTTTAGGGTTTAGTAATCAAGAATTTAGAGTGTAAACGATGAAATACCTTTTTTTATTAACACTACCCGGACGGATGATTAATTACACATTCTCTTATAACACATGGCACAAAATCTGGTGTAAACTACTATATTTATACTATCAAATATCACACCACAATAGTTGGTGGTCTAATGGAGAAAAGGTGACAAAATCATCTTCAAGGTGGTGGAAAAATATATAATTTCTAGACCAAAATGGTCTATATATATACAAAGATTGATCCTAGATCTAGTTACAAAGACTGGTTTCAGGTTTAGTATAGATATAGCCGGACCGAATGTACATGTAACCATAATGGTTATAAAAAAAAACATCACACCACAAAAATATTGTAATTTCAATATTTTCTGTATTTGTTCGATGGTGTGGCGAATGAAACATAGACGTAGAAGACACACAAGAATCTTCTCCAAGAATAGAGATGTTCACTTTGACACGTCGCCACCTCAAAAAGAAAAAAAAAGAAATCCTTGTCTCTTGTTGGGATATATTAGTTTTATACTTTTTTAATAAATTAATCAAATGTTTTTTCACCCTAATTCCCAATAAATCACACACAACAAGTGTAATAGTAAATATGAAAAGGTTATTTGTTTAGGATTACGTCAGTTTTCTTATCCGTAACATTTTTGTTCTATAATCCAAATTCGATTGTTCTAACGATAAAATATGCAAAGTATAGTTCAAATCTAAATATTGAGAGATATTCACCCCTATTTTTTTAATATTTCGAGAAATTTAATTGGGTTAAAGGCCCGACAAACTTTTCCATTATAAAAAAATATTTCAGTTCTACACTATATATATATATATATATATCGATTGCAGTGCAAGAAACTTAAAGATCCATATGTAATTACCTTGTCATCGCTGTAAATATGAAACCTAAGCATCTGGTTCTTATTGTTTCCGGACAAGAAGACACAAACTGTCGCAGCAGCAGCCGCGGCTCCAAACGAACAGATCGCACCGATTCCGGTGAGACCCAGTTTCAGCAAATTCAGTTTCTGATCACCTTTTCCTCGAATCAGATCTCCATCCCAACTCTCTTTCTTGATCCGCAAGTCACCCTCTTCACCCTCCGACCCGATATCCATGGATTCCAAGGGTTTCAGATCGATCTGAGGCAGGGGACTGGTGACCGTTGTCGGGTCAATTTTCATGTCGACGAATTCGTTTTCCGAGAAACCCAGATCAGGGTTCTTGAGAATCTTCATGGGGGCGACGACAGAGACGTCGTAGGTGAGTTTCGTATCCTCGCGATCTGTGCCGTCGGTGCTGAAGATGGGTTCCCATGTCATGGGAGCTTGAAGGAGACGAGTGGGGACCACTCCGGATCTACGACTGGGTTCGGTCTGTTTCGGAGGATCTTGAGATGGGCAGATGAAGTATTCCATGTCGAGGAGGTTCTTAGCGTTTGGATTTGGGTTTCTCTTGGTGTTTCTGATCATCACGCCATCTTCATCATCATGGTATTCATCATGATCATGATCAAAACCGTTGGAGAGCAATTCCCATTCTCCTAGATCCATCTCTTCCATAATTTGTTATCGAAGAACTTGGGGTTTTTCTCGAATTATTGTTCTTAATTGGGTTTGGAGTTTTCATGGAGAGATTCTCTCTCTCTCTCTCTCTGCGATTTGAAGCTGTTCTGGGGATCCTTTAATAGATAGAGAGAGACAGGAAGAAAAAGAAGAGGAAATTGAAGTTGGGGGAAATGTGGGATTTCTTTTTTAAAATCGGGTTAGTTAATGGACGTTAGATTTTTTATTTTATTTTATAAAATTTATAATTATTCTATTGTGTATGCACTGTTAGATTGTCAGAAAAATTATTTTTATTATTTGATATTAAATTTAAATTTAATTCTTTATAAAAAAAATTATAATTATATTTTATTTTGTTCCATCGATTTTACAATCTAAAAATTTAATGTCGTCCTCTTTGAAATCTACAGACTAAAATTAAGCTTAGTGATTTATGGAAAATTGTTATAGATGGAAATAAAACAAATTTCTCAAATAGTATCTCAGCTTATTTCTTGACATTGAAAAAATGTTTTAAAATTGGAAAATAAAATACGACACTATTTTCTTTCGTTTTGAATATGATTATGTGGTGGTTTTTTTTTTTGCAACGTTCTATAAAACGAAACAAAAAGCCATTCGATAACATAAATTTCAAAATTACAATAAATCCGTATTTTTTTTTAATTTTCATTTTGGAATTCTGCATATTCTTTGCTTTGTCAAGGAAATAGGTGACGTAAGCAGCCCAAGGCCCACAGGCCACAGCGGTGGTGACAAAAGCCATTTGTGGGGCCCACAGATAATTAAATCGGGATGAACTCATTTTTTTTTATAACGGGTGATCCAAACCCAAAGACCCAGACTAATCTTGACCCACACGCACGATCCTGTAACACATACGTGGGATGTGAAACACCCGAAGGTGGCAGATAAACTCATTTATTTGTGTTTGAAATGACGAAACATTTAAGATTATATCATCCTAAACCTAGACCTTTCGATTATGGTTTATAAAAAATTAAACCAAATTGATTGATCAATATATTCGAATCGAACTTAATATAGAAATTAATTATATATATATATATATATATATACATTTAAATTTAAATTATTTGGACATGAATAATTGAAAAATTATAAGAAAGATAATATATTGTTTTTTTTTTAAATCAATATTTTAGTAAAAACCAAATATAAATAAAAACTGAATAATTAAATTTAAAAAGTCGACATATATATATTTATTACAAAACCACAAAACTAAATTTAAAAAAAAATAGTGATAAATGACCATCAAAGTTCATCATACACAGCACCAACACATACATGACCGAAAGGTTGGCAAAGCTTTTACTCAAGTTTCTAGATTAAAAGATACGAAGACACTTCAAGCATAAGATTTAGTGCTTATTAGTTATTACCTAACTCGATTTTATTTTTTATTTTTTAGCCCATTTATCAATTTTCCACATAAATAAAGATTGCAAAAAAAAAAAAACTTAAAAAGATTCACAAAGTCCAAATCTTTAAAAAGGGAAAAAAAGAACAGAAGAGGTTGCTTGCTCAAATGGGGTCTTTAATTCTTAGCCAAGTTGGAACTTTTATTCCTTTGATATATATATATATATATGTGTATATATGTATATAACGTGTTGTTTGGTATAATGTAATGAATCAATTGTTATAGTAAGTGAACCGATGATCAACAAGACAAAAGTTTCAATACACAACATAAACAAAGTGGAAAGAAATTAAACATATTAACAGAACAAATATTTTATCCATGCCAAGCTAGACACCGATACCCATTTTTCGGGTATTTGAAATTTCAAAAATCGATTACGAGTTCGGATTTTAGATTCGAGTCAGATTTCATCGGAAAATTATTCGTATCTACGGATAACGCGAATGGTCTAAACCTTAAATTTCTCAGCCCGAATAAAAAGGGGATTAACGAGTTGGACTGAAAATAAGCTAAATCGAAAGAGTTGGTCTGATCTGGTCCGAACCAGTCCGTTTGACATCCCTACGGATAACCCGAACGGGGGAGAAGGGAGAGAGTAGAGGTGGCCGTTTCGTGATTCAAATCAATATTTTAACGGTTCGATCCGAAAACGGTTTATTCGGTATTCTAAAATTTATACCAAATTAATACCGTTTATTATTCGGTTCGGTTTTGTTTTTTGTTAAAAAAATTTAGATTTTCTTAAGAAAATTTCGATTTTTCAAAAATTGTATAAAGTTCAATTCGGTTTCGAAAAATTCGGTTCTCTAAAAATCATATCGTTCGAGAATTTTAAACGGTACGGTTGGGAAAAAATACTAAAATTTTCGGTTCAGTACAATTCTGTTGCGAAGAACCAAACCGAAACGACCACCCCTAGGGGAGAGTATGAGTCGCATCCAAAACGGAGCCATTTCGGCCCGAACCATCGCCCGCCTTAGCTATCCCAAGTTATGGTACTCGGTCCTCACAAGGCCAAAGCCGGACAATCTGACCGAGAAAACCCGAAATAGAGAGGTCGAGACCCGAAAAACTCGGATACTCTTGCCCACGTTTATCACTATATATATATAAAGAGCGTACAAAAGAGGAAACCAAAAGGAGAGGTCTTAGTCGATCTCACAACACACAATACAATTCAACAAAGCTCGTATCCCCTCAGCGTACACATTAAAGTTCCGTGACAAAGAAGGCAAAACCAGAAACTAGGGAGAACAATAATAATATTCACAAACGGAGAAGAGTAAGCTGTTCTTGCATTTACATGTTTCCTCAAGTAAGATGACCAACAAGCAAATGAGACACATACAGTAGTAGTCACAGACCGGCTCAGTTATGTAACATCCGCCACCAAACTCTCACGTCGAAAGAAAAGAGAGATAAGAAAGTAATTTTACCTGTGCCTCCTACAGCTCGATCTCCTTTTCTCTACCCGAAAAAGATAGAGAAAATCTCAAAGGGCTTTTTATTTTCACCCTTGAGACGAGGATATGCAGGAAGACGGTCTTCTCAAAGAGACGGAAGCAAGAGATGAAGCCCATGCCCGAGCGTTCTTTGCCCTCTCATGGAAGTTTCTCGTTTTAGTAAGTCTCGTTTTCATCCATATCCTCCCGACATCGATCATATGAAGGGCACATCCGAACAGCTGGATAGTCTCACCGATTATTCCCAAGTTCAGCTTGGGAATGTGAGATGCACAGAACGCTTTCACGCGCAATAGCACTCTGGGAATGACGAGGATTCCCAGCTTTACTAAGAGGAACAGCAATGCAAATACCAAGTATGACTCCCTTGTCAAAATTTCTCTCCAAGAAGAACCATTACTTAACCATTTGTTCAAGCTTCCATCGGTATCTGAACTTGTTTGTTCCACATCAGTTACATAATGGACAGGGTGAAGTCCTGAAAAGCAAAAAAAAAAAAAAAATCGTTTTCCTGAGGTGCTGGAGTAGAAGCGAGGTAATCGGGTAAATAAATTTTTTAGGCATACATGATACCTACAAGAGATACAACCAGTTGCATCAAAGAATTCAACAGTTCAGGTGTTGCATGAAGAACACTCACCCGTTGTTTTCTCATAGAACTGGACCAATGATGCAAGATCTTTTTCACCGAGGTATCGCACCTTTGATGATTGATGAACCAGCAGGATCGAAGGAAAGCTATGGATACCATACCTAGAAAAGACACTGCAACAAAAATCAAAATGAAAAAATGTTAGGATGGTTGAAAACATGCATTAAAAAAGCATTTTCATGATAGCAGCAACTAGCAAGCAAATGCGTAAATAAAAACCTGATAAGCAAGCACATAATCTAAGCTAAAACAGTTTCCCTTTATTGACCATGCGCCACAGCATTACTTCATAATTGGCAAGTACTTGGGATTCTGCCAAATGATTTAACATTCTTCTTTTAGCACAAAAAAGTATTTAACCATGGATTTCTAGCAGACGCTCATTACCAGCAGACTAGCTCAAACGCAGTAATGTTCACTTGAACAATACTAAAGAAAGTAGCTTCTTACGATGGCAGTGCTTGAGAATGCTCCACAACCAGATGCTCTATTTGAGGAAACATTGAAGCCAGGGCATCGATTTTAGGTCGCACGGCACGTGAAAATGGACACCAGGAAGCATAAAAGAGTACAGCTTTATAACCATTTCCATGGTTTGAGTCCATTACTCTGTCAAGGTAGTCTCCATCAACCTACATGAATATCAACGGCCAATGTAAATACTGCTTGAGTTAAACAATGGAACCACAGTGCTGAGTTAACTTAAACAATGGAACCACATCAACCTAAGTCATGTTTACAGATTAACTTAAGCTAAACATGGTGGTTTTAAGATTAGAAACCTAAATATTCTATATATTAATGTATTTAAATTCTGATAGAAAATGCCACTGCTGTCATATTATCCCCAGCCTTTGATACAGAAAAGATCCTCGATATCTAACACAAAAACCCTAATCCAAACGGAATAAGCTAAATCAGCTGCCAAATGACAAACCCTAGAACTGACAAGAGCCGAAATGAACCGAAATCGAGATAACATACCTCAAGAGGAGGGTTCGGATGCAGAGAACGAGGGCATTTCGCCTCGAGTCCGCACCGAAACACATCGAATTCCGGATCGCAAACACCAAATTCCGGAGTGGAGGAAGCGAATCGGAGAGATGATACGGCGGTGGCGGCGCAGAGGAGGAGAACCGAGACCCGAAAATCCATGGCGTAAAGGTTAGGGCAGGAGTGAGAAACACTACGAACCTAAATCTAGAGGCCAACGAGAAAACCCCAGAATCAAAATCGGCGGGCGATGACAGGAAATTAGGGATTTGGATCTAGAAACGAGATTCGACGAGTAAACGAACAAAAAATACAGAACCAAAACTAAGATCGAAGCAAGAGAAACTCCAAAATCGAGAATTTGATCACTGCTGTCTCGTTTCGTCTCTCTCTCCTCAGCACTTCACAAGTTCATATCATATCCTTTCTTTAAGTGCCGGTTGGTTTAAAGTTAATAACCGACCCATTATTTATATGTCCACCATAATTTCATTTTTTATTTTTGACTATCTAATACGGCCTTGGGCCTATCTGATTTACTACTATCTACTACGGCCCAAATATATAGTGGGCCTAAATTATAATGTAATGCCGTATTTCCTAAATAAGTCCTCTCTCTCTCTCTCTCTCTCTCTCTCTCTCTCTCTTCCTGGTGAGAAATTAGGGCTTTGGGATCGACCGAGAAGCTGAAATCAAGACCAATGGAGATTACGGAGCAGAAAGAAGAAGAGTTGAGGAACGCTAAAGAATCGGGAGACGTGACCAACACCAAGTCGCTGTCTGGTCCGGATTCTCTTTCGGAGGAGTCCGAAGAACGCCATGCTCGTGAGCTCAAAGCCGGTCTGCATCCCCTGAGGGTTCGTCTTCTGGTTCCATGCCTCTATTTGATCTTCTATTGGCCGAAATTTTGATTCCTGCTTTGTGGGAGATGGGAAATTTTGTGTTTTCTTCACGTTAGTTTGACTCGATCGGCGGATTTTCATTCGAATCAGTTTTGGCTTGTTGTATTTTGAAGTGAATCATAGGATTAATCCGAGTAATGATCATACTTTTTTTCGATGGGCAGTACAAGTTTACGTTTTGGTACACTCGCCGTACACCAGGGGTCAGGAACCAGACATCTTACGAGGACAACATAAAGAAAATTGTAGAGTTCAGTACGGTAAGTTCGTGTACACAATTTCCGTAACTCTGGGAAATGTGTTCTTGTTCATCTCTGTGACCTGGTTCTGGATTTCAGGTTGAGGGGTTCTGGGCCTCCTATTGTCACCTTGCTCGATCTTCTTCCTTGCCTATTCCAACAGATCTCCATGTTTTCAAGGAGGGGATTCGTCCTTTGTGGGAGGTAGATATACTTGAATGTCAGATATTTCTTGTAGTATTTTTGTTCTTTCTTATGTCAATGCTGTACAATAAACAAACATAAGCGAGCTGATGATATATCCTCAAGGATGCTGCCAACTGCAATGGAGGAAAGTGGATCATACGTTTCTCGAAAGTCGTTTCTGCTCGCTTTTGGGAAGACCTGGTCAGTCTATTTCGGTTTCCCCATGTCTCCCTTTGGCATAGTCATATTCGATTGATTTGGAATTCATGTTAAATGCTCGTATGTTTCTTCTTCAGCTACTTGCGCTGGTAGGTGATCAGCTTGATGATGGCGATAACATATGTGGAGCGGTGCTAAGTGTCCGCTTCAACGAAGACATCATCAGTGTCTGGAACCGTAATGCTTCAGATCGTCAGGTTAGCACTAATTGAGTTACCTCTCTTGTGTGTTTGGTTCGATGCTTACACTACATAACTGATGTCTCCATCCATGGACAGGCCGTGATGGCTCTGAGAGACTCCATCAAACGGCATTTGAAGCTTCCTCACGCATATGTGATGGAATACAAGCCCCACGACGCTTCTCTTCGAGACAATTCCTCCTACCGAAACACTTGGCTGCGAGGATAGATTCCATATCCCCGGTTAGCTCTTTCGTGCTTTTGTCCCCGGAGATTATCTAGGTCGGTCATCGAAGTCAGTACTGTTGCTCATAGATGAACCCATGCCCATGCTTATACTGAATCAGTAGATTTCTCCTTTGTGATTTCCCTTGTACAACTATGTTTTTCCTCATCATGGGTATCTTTACTTTGAATTTTGCTTCCGGTTCCACTAGCCATAAATATTGATTGAATATGTGAAGCCGAGTTCATTTTCAGACAAAATCCAAAATCTCGCATCCTGGATCCAAGTTTTGAGAAATGTGTGGTCTGTAGTAAAATAAAATTGTTCAACTTTTCACAATGGAAATAGTCTCCGACATAAATACATACATACAATACAGCATATGGAATTGGTGGCTTCTGGATATATTTCATTGAGATCTTGACGCCTATAATTTAGCCTCGACAGATGATTGAAGTCCGATGATACCTGGTTTATGAGAAACAAAGAAAAAACACAATGAATTAAACAAAAAACAGGAAAAAAAATTGACAGACTTGACATGGTCTTGGCCCATATTTTCGAGCTGCATTACCACATCCGATCCTTGCACCGGCATTTCCTGTCGATTTGCTGAGTTCATGCCCTCCTGTCCATCAGTATCCACACATCTAAATCCTTTTAACGTGGATGAACTATTTGTTGTGTTCTTTCAAAGAAAGATACATCTACTTTAACTTGAGCCAAATTCCTTGGAAACAGCTATGTGCAACTGGAAAGTTTAAAACTTCAGATTAAAAGATCTCTTTCTTTGACACACCGTTAATCTTTCGATCGAGCGATTTGATTTTCGACGCTAATAAGAGACGACAGTTCTGAGAAAAGCTGAAAGCTATTACCTTTGCCGAGGTCATCGGGATCGGCATGAACAACAACCGCCCTCCCCAGTATCGAATGCTGCCCGTTCAGTGGGATCTGTGAATTCATAAAAGCCAAGATGGAGGAAACATCATGAATCTGAAACAAACAGGACCAACAAAAAAAAGGTCCATGTTCAAGAAATGGATAGAGATGCTTAACCTGTTTGTCCTTGATTGAGATCTCTGCAACTCCTGATATCAATCAGAACATCATATTCATTATCGACATCTCGTTCAACCCGATAAACGAACAAACAAGATGAAGCATACAGATAGACAGATAAAGGGTAAAGCTTTATACCATCTGAGCCTGCATATATATTCCCCAAATCTCCTGCATGCCGCTCTCCCTCATGGGGTGCCCCATGAACTTTGTTCCGCGGATTGAAGTGAGGTCCTGTGGTGGTTTTCAAGTTTTCGCAAGGAAATGGTAACAGAGAGGAAAAGAAATTAGCCACATTGTCAGTACATATAACTCAGTAATATATCAACACATCAATGCCGAATTACGGTTCTTGTCTTGGCTACGAGATTGTTCTTACGAGCAAATGCTTTTGCAGCACAGAGGGTTTACATAAACTATCAAATCCAAGTTCATCAAATTACGACAAGATTATCAAGTAAACTTCTCTCGTGTATGTGTTTCAATCTAAATCCGACATGTTATCAGGAATTGCTGGCCATCATCCCCTGAGTAACCATCATGCCAAAATTTCAAATCTTTCAAGAGAAACAGTTTATAAAACTTAATACAGATCTTCCAAAAGAACACGGGAAATCCATCCGAGCCTGAACCGAAACAGACGCACTGAAACCCAAGCTGGAGACAAAACGAAAGAAGAAATCAATCTTCAGACAGTGACAGAGAAAACGGATACCAGTGGAGTTGCAGCCATTGGTGGTATCGCCGAAGGAGTGAATATGGAAGCCATGGAAACCAGGAGATAGACCTGCTATCGTTCCCGTCACATGGGTCGTCCCTATGTAAGCAACAAACAAAAATACAGAGACAGAGAAAAACCCATGAACAAAGCATAATCCGCCTTCGATTTCCGACGATTACCACAAAGGAAACGAGATGAGATTTACCAGAAGCGTCTTGTATGAATTGAAGACAACCTCGGACGTTATTATCGCCTGTGATGAGAGCCACCGCCTTCAGATTGCCCGTCGCCTGAGCCGCCATTGTCGCCCTCTTTTCTCCCCGTCTCTCTGGTTTCTTCTGTGTTTATCGAGGAGCGAGCCAAAACCCGAACCGAACCGACAAACCGGAACACAAATACCGGTAAGGGCAAAATTGGAAAAACAGAAAAAAGATCGAGAATTTCTGTGACGAGAAGTGAATCTGTCCACATAAAACTTGAGCAGTCAGAGGTCATGGTCCTGCGTATTGTTCGACAAGACTTTGCAAAACCATGTGATGTTTGCTTGTCTGCAGAATCAGAGGAGAGAAGCCATACACTGTAACACACATATATATATATATATATTGCATACATACATACATACATACATACATACATATATGTATATATATATTCCATTAAAGATGACAGAAGGAGGAGATTTGATCACCCTTTTGTGCAGAATCACTGTTCAGACAGCAAAAAGATGTCGTTTGTTTTTACAAAAACTGATCAACGTTACCTTATTCAACACCCAAAAGAAATTGAAGAGAATCTGAATGCTGCTACATATATAATCCAAATGCGGATTCAGAGTGTTCACCGAGGATGCAACTCAGAAATGGCACCAGAACTTGCAGAAGATCCTAAACCTCGGCTTCTGCGATCTGTCGTGCTCGATTGATTGTTGCCCGTCGAGGAAGAACACTCACCGATAGATCTCAGTAAAACACAAGCGGAACAAACGGGTCGATGTAAATTCAAATGATTTCAAAAAATTTCACTTGGTTGAACCAAAACAGAGACGGACAAAGCATTGACGAATGGAAGAGCGATACTATCACTGCTCAGCATCAGAAGGACCGAAGCCATGGTCGGCCTTTCGGACACATTCTCCTGAACACACAACAAACCTATGTTTATGCATCTCAACATCATGCTTCTTGAACCAACCGTCAGACTCTGGTCGACCAGTTTTAACGCCATGCCTTCCCTCCAGTTCCTCCATGCCTGCAGAAGCGAGTTCTTGGATTATGATCTGAGCAACTAACGGACAGTTCTCGGGTGAGAAAAAGTGTACTTACGACGCTCACGAGATCTCCGACATCTTCCACGTCGTCTCGGAAAGAGCTGTTTCTCTGACCACTTACGATCTCAAGAACCAAGACCCCAAAACTGTAAACGTCTGTCTTGAACGAGAACTGTCCATGCATTGCGTATTCCGGAGCCATGTATCCACTGCAATTCAATTCATCACCATCATCATCATCATCATCATCATATATGTATCCGTGTATATACCTATTTGAAACGTTTCGGAACTCACAGTGTTCCGACAACCCTGCTCGTGAAGCTTTGAGTTGTGTGATCGATGTCAAACAATCTCGCCATACCGAAGTCTGCAATCTTTGGGGTCATTTCTTCGTCAAGTAAGATGTTGCTCGCTTTGAGGTCACGGTGAATTATCCGAAGGCGAGAATCTTCGTGTAGATATACGAGTCCCCGAGCTATTCCTCTTATGATTCTATGCCGTTTTTCCCAATCCAGATACGTTCGCTTCACCATATATGCGCACACACACACACACGCGAAGAAAACGAAACCAAAGGATATCATAATCTATGCAAAATCTTGGATCCAACTCGCGAGTAGAGAAGAGTTACCGAAGATGAACTTGTCGAGACTGATGTTCGGGACGAACTCGTAGACGAGAAGCCTCTCTGTTCCTCGTAAAGAAAACCCTAAAAGCTTGACAAGATTCCGATGCTGAAGCTTCGCTACAAGCAAGACCTCGTTCTTGAACTCTGTTTCGCCTTGTCCCGTTTCTCTCGACAACCTTTTCACAGCCACTTGATGTCCATCACGTATAACACCCTACACATTATACGTACGACAACTATATATATATATATATATGTCTCGGAACTGACACTGGACGGCAGTGTCTTAAACGTGAACAAAACAGAGAAGGGTTACCTTGTAAACTGTTCCGAACCCGCCTTGTCCGAGCTTGTTTTCGGGCGAGAAATTATCGGTGGCATCTCGTATAATACCGAAATCAAACTGCAACGAATCTGCGCTACTGATATCGTCCTCGATTTTGCCTTCTAGTTCTATCCACACGCCACAACAAAAACAAGAGAGTTTTGATAACCGGTGTTCTACTTTGCAAGAAACTTAAACTTCCTTTTCGATTTTTTTCTTTTTACGAAACTTACTTTCGCGTTTCTTCTTCCTCAAGAATACAATGATGGCGGCGGCCATAAGTAAGAAAACGACAATAACAGGAACGACTATGGAGATTACAGCTCTATCTCCATCACCATTTTTCTTCCCTGGAAGAAGAAGATATACACATATATATTATATAGTAAAATTTTTATACCGTATAGGATCTTGGACCTTTTTCGGTCATAACCATTCGATTTTTGTATCGAATTCGGTTTAGGTTCCATGTTTTTCAATTCAAATCAGTTAAATTATTCGGTTATTAACCAGATAGATGACCTCGTCCTTTGTCGGAACAGAAATGGATACCTCCTCCGACGAGTCTTGTGCCATTTCCCGGAGGAGAAAATGCCGTGGGTACGTGTTAGTTGACTCTTCGGCGGTTATGTTATAAAACCGATAAGTCTCGTACCGGAAAAAGCAGCTCGGCGTCGACCGCCGACCACCTTGCCTCCCATCACAGCAATCTGGAATCTTACCAAAGCCCTGAGACAGACAATCCGAACAATCCTGTTCCGACAAGTCTGGCGTACACTGTACCAAACCGTACAATGTCTGGAACGATGGCGCCGTCGCATTTCCGGCGGCAAACTTCTTACCGCCCGTTTGGGCTCTTCTCCTCAGGCTTTCGAGTAAACCCCTCAGGACGGTCTCGATCCCGGCCCTATCTCCGGTGAAGTTTGCGGTGTTCGCCAGAGAGTGCGAGGGCTCGGTCTCCATCCGGTTCACTATCGTCCGGTTCGAGTAACGTGTCGTGCACGTTTCGTACCATATGATGGCTTCCTTGCGGTTAAGGCAGCGTCTCTTCAGTTCTTGCCCGGCGGCCGCCACGCAGGCGAGGCAGTCACCGGCAGTGATATCTCCTCTGCAGATCGAGATCGAGTTGACTCTGTCGGAGTTTTCTCCGACGGAGATGTTGTAGAAGCCGTCGTCGTTTTGGGGGAGAGAGGAGAGAGAAGAGATGAGCTTGTTAAGGTTGTCGGAAAATGTGGAGTTCAGTGTGTAGTTTCCTCTTTCGTCTCTGCAGATCTCGTACGGAGAAACCTGTGCTTGGGATCTTACAGTGAAGTGTTGCATGAGAAGCAGCAAAGTGAAGAAGGGAGCGTAAGATACAGAGGACGCCATTTAATAATAAAAAAAAAATATTTTTGCTTCTCTTGTCTTTGTTTGATGTTCTCTGCTAAATCACAGATCCGCCATTTTTTTTTATAATTCAAGAAACGCTGCCCCAAGATTCACGTCGGTTGACTTTTGACTTTGGTGGGCAAAGATTTCCAAGTCCGAGCATGTTAATTTATTTATAGGAAAATGTTATATATATTGTCTCTTTCCAGTGTCATATAGTCTTGCAAAATAAATTGCAGGACCACGATTGATATGTGATTGAAGAAGAAGAAGTCTCTGTATATGTATATATATGTATGTATATATATATATATATCCCACATGCCCATCACATTTCATTATATGTTCCAAGTGGTCCAATGAACTTTTTCAACATTCACCATGCACGGAAACTTCCAAAGCTTCTTCCTCTTCCTGTCTGTATGGACTTTTTTTTTATGTTATGCTGTCATTAAAAAAAAAACTCGATAAGGACAAAAAATCCATCTAGTTCTCTTTTAAAAAAAAAAAAAAAAAAAAAAAAACTTCAGGCCCCCACATAAAAATGTCTTCAGATAGATTTCACAATCAGAAAAAAAAAACAGATATGTAGAGAAACCCATTTCATAATTCAAGAACAGGACAAAAGCTCAATGGAATCGTTATTATTACCATGAAATGAAATAACCTAACCTGCCATTGTCTATTACGGACACATATGAAACATTATAAAAAACGTTTTCAGACAAAAAGAAGAAAAAAAAAAGCTTCCTGATACGAGGTTTCTTGCGCTCTACGTTAGCTATCGTAAAATTATGTTTGTAGATTTAGTTGTGGTTTCACGGGTGCAAGATTTTGGGTCTTGAGAAATCACGTCCAGTCATCCATAGATGATGGATCTAAATAAAAAATAAATATCTAATTTAATTCGACATTATGTTTATAATAAATATAAAAAAAATACTTGGGGAAACACGAGGAAAAATATCTGGACGGTTGGTTTATGATTAGATTCTCATAAATGCGTACACCTTGTAATATCTTTTTTTGGGTAAGCAGTACATCTTGTAATTATTCACCGACAACTGGAATGTATCTATTTATTTACTTTAAAAAATAAAAATATTAATTTTCTATTTATTTACTTTTTTGTAAAATAAATCGGACCGTTTTTATATAACCAAAGACGGAACACACAAAAGACAGAAAACTAAAATCTATGTGATGTCTGTCTGAGTTCATACACACACGGCTTTGTTTGTCAACAAAGCAACCTCTTTTTTTTTAAAAAAAAAAAATAAAAAAATAAAAAAAAGAACACCGATAATCCAACGAGCGTTTCTCTTCGGCTTCGATTCTCTGGAAATCTCTCAGTCACTGTCTCTCTCTCGATCTGATTGGGATTTGTTCAGCTGTCACCTGGGTTTTGTTTGTTTCTCTGGAAAATCGACGGGGAAACGCGAGACAGCTCGAATCTGTGAGACGCAACCTGAACCCCTTCGCGCTGGATCCCCGAGCATGCTTCTTCGTTTCTCGTCAGATTCGCGCATGTTGCGGCGGCTCTTCTCCGTTTGACCTCTTGATCTCTTCTTCGATTCTTCGCCTCAGGTAAACAGAGTTCGCGTTTTGAGTCTGGGTGATTATATCCGCTGGATTCGATGCTCACGATCACGAATGCGTTCTATTGGGTTAGGGTTTTTAATTTGAGGGGAGGATTTCGAAATTTTAGGGGAAGATAGAAGGAGATGATGCTGTTCAAATCTAGAATAAAATGGATTGCACTCCTTGTGCTGATCTTGTCAGTGGGATCTCTGGTTATTCATCTTTCCATTACCAAGTCTTCAGGTGTACAGTTAGTGCAGTATTCGAGAGGATTTGGACAAGAAGTAGGGATACAGGTAAAACCAAAATAAAAAAAGGGATTTGAACTTTTGATTTCGCATGTCTCCTCCAATGAGTATCTTTTCATTGTTGTTGACGATGTAAGAAACCTCTTAATGTTTCAGAGTTTTACCAGTAAACACCTATGGCGATCTGTGAAATCGTTAGAAACCTTGCAGCCCTACGCCAATTCAAGAAATAACTATCCTGGTATTGTCTTTAGTTTCCTCGTACATGCCAGTATGTTCTTTGATAATTCCAGTTCAAAGTTGAAGTTGTCGGTTTTGTGTCCTTGTCTGAGTCATCCTTGCTTGTCTTGTCTCGTCACAGCGCCAAGTCAGGTGAACAATGGCTTCATCTATGCAAAGGTTTTTGGTGGATTTGACAAGATAAGATCTTCAGTATGTATCTTCGGACACTAAAAGAAAATTATATGATCTCTATTTGAGTTTTCCAAATCTGCGGGTTGATAACGTGTCTGTAAATTTTCTAGATATGCGATCTTGTCACCATATCCAGGCTTCTAAATGCTACTCTTGTCATTCCAGAGCTCCAAGAAAGTCTTCGCTCAAAAGGCATCAGGTACGATCCTTTCTTTGTTACTTTTTTATACCTTGTTTGTTTCTCAAAACCCGGTTTTGGAATTTTCTATACTCTTTAATTTATATTTGTGGGCTGTGCAGCTACAAGTTCAATAGCTTCTCCTACCTTTATGACGAAGAACAGTTTATAGCCTTTCTTAAAAACGACATTACGGTTGTGAAGGCTCTTCCCGAGAGCTTGAAGGGTGCAAGAAAACGGAACGAGTTCCCTATCTTTAAGCCCAAAAGCTCTGCCTCGCTTAACTTTTATCTCGATGATGTATTTCCAAAGTTAAAGAAAGAAAAGGTTATTGGATTGATTGTCTCCAATGGAGGTTGTTTGCAGGTATTTATCTTTTTTTTTTTCGTTAGTACCTTTTTTTTTTGTATCGAAAAGGTTATTGGATCGATTTGGTTATCTTTTCTGCTGCAAAATACAATCTCGATTTTTTTTAATCGCAATCTGGCCATGCTATGTTTAAGTTAGGAAATGGTTATATGACGTGACCATTATGCTCTCTCCCTCTCTCTAAGTAAATGGTCTTTTTTATTTCAGTCTGTTTTGCCAGCTTCAATGTCCGAACTTCAAAGACTTCGGTGTAGGGTTGCTTTCCATGCCCTTCAGTTCCGTTCAGAAATTCAGTTGCTGGGAAAGAAGATGGTCGAGAGGTACTTGGAACATATGTTTTTTTTTGGGGATCTGTCCTAAAGGGGAAAAACATTGAAAATGTGGACACACTAGTTTTCTAACCCAAAAAAAGGGCAAGTAGCTGACTGAGAAATGCAGTAAACGAGTTTAAGGGATAGCCATTTATAGACTTTAGCTCGGGGACTTCAGGTGGAATATAAGACCAGACTAGCTTTAGGTGTCATGATTTTATCCATATCGACGAGACATGTGGTTAATGCTGAGATAATGTCCTTTCCTCTTGGTTAGGTTAAGGGGATGGGGCCAACCTTTTCTAGCTTATCACCCGGGCCTAACGAGGGACACGTTGGCTTATCATGGTTGTGCCGAGCTTTTCCAGGTTAGAATTTGTATCCGACAGGATGTTCGTTTTGATTTGATAGTACTCACTCTCTTTCTTCTCTCCTCTTTGTGTTCTGACTCTTTGTCGTTTTCTGACTTCTCGAAGGATGTTCACACTGAACTCATTCAGTACCGACGTGCTCAGATGATCGAGCAGAGGATTATTTCAGATGAACTTAGTGTAGACTCGCACTTGCGCAGGGACAAGGGCTTATGCCCTCTAATGCCGGAAGAGGTACCATCCTCGGCTGCTTTGTCGTTATGCTAGAAAAAATGCTTATAGTTACACTTCTATGCCATAAAGAAGAGCCCTCTGGATTGCCCTTTACTATTGCTTGAGAAATCTTTCTGACAATTTTTTTGTCTGAGGCCTGTTTCAACTGTTGCACTGAATGACAGGACTAGATTCTCTGTTTTTATAACGATAGAGTTGGTCCTCAATTTTTGCAGGTCGGAATTCTTCTGAGGACATTAGGGTATTCTCCCAAAACGATCATTTACCTGGCTGGACCCGAGACTTTTGGTGGCCAAAGAGTTTTGATCCCTTTGCGTGCCATTTTCCCGAATTTAGTGGATCGGACTTCCTTATGCAGCGAGGACGAGTTATCCCGATTAGTTGGTCCTGAAACGCCTCTTCCGCAGAACACCTTCAAAGTGCCTCCACGAAAGAGCGACGAGCAACTAAAAGAAGAGTGGAACAAGGCAGGCCCTCGGCCTCGGCCTCTCCCACCTCCTCCAGACAGACCTATCTACCAACACGAGAAAGAAGGATGGTATGGTTGGGTTACTGAGAATGAGACGGAACCAATCCCTTCCTCCATGGATCTTAGGGATCGAGCTCACAGGTTACTATGGGATGCTCTCGATTATTTCGTCTCTGTAGAATCTGACGCCTTCTTCCCGGGTTTTAACAACGACGGTAGTGGGTGGCCGGATTTCGCTAGTCTGGTCATGGGGCAGAGACTCTACGAGAGGCCCTCTTCACGGACGTACCGGCCAGACAGGTAAGCATGTGTTTCTAATTCGGTTTTGCCATGCCACTTAACCTTGTAACCTGTCTTTCAGTTAAGATTTGTTTACTTTGTCTGATACATAGAGATACGTTTTGTTTTCTTTTTCTGGAACAGGAGGGTTATTCAAGGTCTCCTCAACATGACAAGGGAGAACATGTACCATCCAAGACATAACTGGACACTTGATGTGAAGAAACATCTGAACTCGAGTTTGTCTGAAAACGGGTTTATCAGGCAGTCCGTTACATCGAAACCGAGGTTGTTTCTTTCGCACCCACTTCCCGAATGCTCATGCAGAACATCGCCTGTGGAGGAATCCAATGTGGTGCGGGATGATGATGGAAGACATCTCTATGGAGGCGAGGACGAATGCCCTAAATGGATCAAATCTGCCGGAAGGGAAAAGAAAAACCCAGATGACGACGATGAAACATCAGACTACGAGAACGAACCTCTGTCTGAACAGTTAGAGACCGAGGAAGACTACGCGAGAACTAAAGTAGCATTGGCCTTCGACCAGGATGATGAATGGGATCCGAATGACTAGAATACACAGAATTCGAGTTTCGTGAAGATTCTTTCGGGAGGACGAAGCAGCAAACGAGAAGAGGTTCTTTTGTTCCCCTTTTTGATCGGTTTCTTCCCGGCTTTCTTTTTTACCATTTGACGTGAGAATAAACTTGCAGAGTCATATTCTTTGGTCGTAAGCTATTTGCAGATTGCAAATGGAAGTAAGTTAAAAGTTGCATACCTTCATAGTTCATACACCACAAAGGGCTTAGGAAACAAGGATAGGAATGCTTTTAATCTCTCTTATGAAACAGATGCAATCTTTGATTAAGTTTTTTTTTTTTCTCTCGTGATGTAAATTCTGCTTCAGATTTTTTTTTTTTTACTTTCGGTTTTTTTTTTTCATGGATTTTTCTGACATTAGTAATAAATTGACAATTATATATATATGTTATAATTTTAATTTTGAAAATTGAATAGCCAACCGTATATGTTATATATGTCCTTTATTTTTAGTTTATATTTACTGTTTTATAACTATAGATTAAATTGTTGTAAAATTATATTATATCCACGTCGGTGACATTTTGCCGGACCAAAACCGCCTTTTAAAATTTGGAAACTTTTATATATAATAAAAAAAGAGATAATCGCATAAAAATATCCGAATTTTTACAAAAATCCTAGATAAATACCTGAACTATAAAATTATCATATAAATACCTGAACTTTTTATAACTCCCACATATATACCCAGACTTTTAAATTTTTTCTAAATCAAACACTCATCTTTTAACGTCGTTAAACACCACTGCTGAATCAGCAAAATCCTGCTGACTCAGCAAAAAAACCTGCTGACTCAGCAAAAACTGATGACTCAACCAAAAAAATATTATTAAATATTCAAATTTTTATCTACATATATTTAAATTAATATATACATATAAATTCACATATATACATATATATATATATATTAAAAATAAAATAATTTATAATTAATAAAACACATGTACTCATAACTACAATATATATATATATATCATACAAATGCATATATACTAAAATAAAAATAATTATAATTAAATTTATATACATATATAATGTACATATTAAAATAAAAATAGTTATAACTAACACATATACATATAATATATATTAAAAAATACTATTTATATGTATATATATTAGTTATATATACAAAATATATATATACAACTAATATATATAATTATAATTAGTTATATATACAAAATGTATATATACAACTAATATATATAATTATAATTAGTTATATATATAAAATATACATATACAACTAATTAGGGGTTTATAATTATATACAAACCCCTAATTAGTTGTATATGTATATTTTATATATATAACTAATTATAATTATATATATTAGTTGTATATGTATATTTTGTATATATAACTAATATATATACATATAAATATTATTTTTAATATTTATTATATGTATATATGTTAGTTATAACTATTTTTATTTTAATATGTATATTATGTATGTATATAAATTTAATTATAATTATTTTTATTTTAATATATATGCATTTGTATGATATATATATATTGTAGTTATGTGTATATATATTTTATTAGTTATAAATAATTTTATTTTTAATATATATATATATATATATATATATATATGAATTTATATGCATATATTAATTTAAATATATGTAGATAAAAATTTAGATATTTAATAATTTTTTTTTGGCTGAGTCAGTAGTTTTTTTGCTGAGTCAGCAGGGTTTTGCTGAGTCAGCAGTTGCATTTAACGACGTTAATAAATAAGTGTTTAATTTGGAAAAAATTTAAAAGTCTAGATATTTATGTGGGAGTTATGAAAAATTCAGGTATTTATATAATAATTTTATAGTTCATGTATTTATTTAAAATTTTTGTAAAAGTTCGGATATTTTTATGCGATTATCCAAAAAAAAAAAAATTGCAATTTTGGTTTTGGAGAAATCAAAACCCTAAATCAAAAACAGGAATAACAGCCATCGCGACTCAGACAGGGGTTCCCTCAATTAAACGCGGAGGGTAAAATTGGAAATAAGGAAAATATAAAAACCTAAAACCCTGAGCGGTGTCGTAGTTTTGATTCTCACTCTCTTCTCCTTCTCTCTTGGCTGTACCTGGCGAATTCCCGGGCTGGATCCGATCCCTTTTCCTCGGCGGTCCAATTCTGTCGCAGTCTAACTGGTACTCTCTCTCTGGCCGCACTTGTATCGCTCTCTGGGTTTCGATTTTCATTGTGGTTTCGTTCGATTCTCTCTTGAATTCTCGTTTAATCCTTGAATGCGCCACACTTTTGTGTTGTAATTATAGGAATTCTCCAAATCATCTCTCCTCCTCTTGAAAAATCTTGAAACCCAGCTACTCTGGTGGCTAGGGTTCTTCATTCGGAGATGCAAATTTTCACTGTTGTTAGGTGACGAGTGATCTTTTCTTGCTCATGTTAATATGTTTTTTTTTTCATTGATGGCAGGACTTGTTGGTCGAGTTTTGAACATGGGTAAGTGATTGCTGTGCCATGGAGTTTGATATTTTTCTCGGATCAAAGGATTTCTCTTAGGTTTAATGCTTCACAGGGAATTCACGTCATGATAAGCGAAAAGAGGCTCGTTTGGAGAAGAGTCGACTAAAACACGAAACTTGGCTTCAACGTCAGGTATAGGAAGCTTCTTGATTATTTGTACGATATATGTTCCTATTCCTGTTATAATGGGTTTTTATCAGTGTTGCAATTTCTGTTCGTTTGCCCACAGAGGTTTCAAAAAGGGAAGAAATTATCTTTAACTAGTAAAACGATCAATTCAGAAGATATCCCTGTGACTGATGACAAGGAAACAGTGCACTTAGAACGGGAGAATAGTCCTGCTAGTAATGAGCATGTGGAGCAAACTTTTCCGGTTGAGATAGCTGAGACCGAAGTTAAGTCGAAGGAGAAGAAGATTAGAAAAGCAAACAGTAAGAAGGATATGAAGAAAGGTAGGAAAACAAAGTTCGAAGAGTACCTCGAAATAGATACCCCGAAAGCATTCTTATCTGGCCAAGAGGACTTGGAATTGGAGAGGAGGCTTGCAAAGAAACTTAGGGTTAAGGAAGGAAAACTAGGGGGATCAGATGATGGTATCAATGAGTTATTTGGAGGATTTCCATCTGCCCTTTGCTCTCTGGGAGTGAAACGTAGCAAATCTGGTAAGAAACGTAAGAAGAAGAGCTCAGAAGAAGGACAGGATTCTGAGGTTGTAGATAAGCAAGCGAATGACGTTTCGGAGCATGAAGAACTTTGTTTTTCAGATGATTCATTGGAAGACATAGAGCCAGTTCTTAAACCATGCAAGAAAAAGAGGCTGCCGAAGGAAGAATCGGAAAGTCATCTGATGGCAATGGATGATAGTGATCCTTCTGAGACTGTTTCACCAGAAAGTTTGGAGGAAACAATGCCTAGAGCGGAGAGCAGCACAAAGTACATTGCTCCTCATTTGAGATCTCGGGCAGGAAGTGAACCGGAAGAACACACTCAAACCCGTAGACGGGTAAGAGGTATGATAAAGACATCTTTTACACCCACTGTATGCCTATGGTTATGATACGAGTTTGACATGCTTGATATGTACACCAGGTCTTCTTAATAGGATGACTGAATCCAATGTAGAATCAATCACTGCAGAGCTGTCCTCAATCTATCGTGTAAGCTTGAACATCCTTATCCTCAAAAGCATTTTCTATCTGCTTAGCTTTGAGCTCTAAGATTGATGCTTAAACGTATTATTTGAATATCTAGTAGATTGTACTATAGTTCGATTTATTTAAAAAAATTGTGTTTTCAGTGTTGTTGGTCTCTTAACTATTGGTTGTTTCACTACACTAACCCATGCAACATATCTAATGCAGACTGTTGCTAGAAGTGTGGCGTCACAGATTTTCTGTGAAGAAGTTTTGGCGTCTTGTGCCAATGGTCCTCGAGGCAATGAACAGTTAAGTGCAGACATATAGGTGTAACTACTCCTTCACATTGACCTTGTTATAGATCTGTGTTTGATGTTTTCCTTTTTTCTGGTAAAGGTATGCTTCTGTATTTGCTGCTTTCATAGCAGGCATGGCATGTTCAGTTGGAATGGACTTCAGCGCAAAACTTATGGCTATGCTTGCTAAATCTTTTGAGGTCTGAATGAATATGAAGTTAATTTTAAATTATCTGGTGTCATTACTACAAATGCTAATAAGCACCTAATTCATTTCCAGGATGAATACCAGAAAGAAGACAATCTCTCTTTGAGGAACGTCACTCTTTTGCTTTCATATTTATGCATATTTGGAGTTTGCTCCAGGTGAGTAGTCTGCAATTTCTCTATGGTCCAGAATCTTGCACTCACCTTTAACAGTTAGTCAAACCAGACAGTTTAAATATGCATGTGAATTTTTACTGCAATCCACTTTTAGGATCTACTGGAATCGGGTGTCTGGCTCTTTTTCCCTGTTTTGTCGCACCTTTCTGATTGGTTATCAATGAATTTCCACTAAATGCAAGCACATTTCTTTATTAGCGATGATAAGAGTTGATTTTTTGATGTTTTGCAGTGATCTTGTTTATGATTTCTTAATGACACTGGGAAAACGGTTGACTGAAGTTGACGTCTCCACTATTTTACATGTTTTACATTGTAAGTTTTGCCATTATTCCCTGACGACCATTATTCTCTGACGACCTTAATTATGTATCGAACGTTGCCTCTTGTTTATTGTATTTTAAACTTTTGTTTCTCAGATTGTGATTATGCATGTATTTCATCTGTTGAGTAGGCTGTGGAATGAAAATGAGGAGCGATGATCCTCTGGCCATGAAAAATTTCATCATCAGTATTCAGAACAGGGCAAATGAGCTGAAAACATCGTCAGAAGGGCAGGAAAAAATAAACACCAAAAGAGTAAGATTTTACGGAATGTTATTCTTTTTCCTGATTGGCAATTTAATATCATGCCTTTAGAGCTATTCTTTCAATTTTGATTTGGCAGATGGAGTTCATGCTTGAAACCATTTGCGAGATCAAGAACAACAAGAAGAGGCCCAAAGAGGATACAGTCCAACATACGAGGATAAAGAAATGGCTTCAGAAGGTAACGCAAACCTGATTTGAAGAGAGTTGTGTCCTATGCTTTTTTATCCGTTTCTTTTGGGGGTGAATAATATTTTTTTTTCATTTGATTAATGACATCAATGACATCTTTTGTATTTTCCATTTTGGCACAGTTGAGAGTTGAAGAAGTTTTGTTAAGAGGGCTCTCATGGAGCAAGCTGCTTGATCCTGAGAAGAAGGGACAGTGGTGGTTGTCGGGTGATTTGGCGGCTTCTTCATCGAACCACAACACTGAAGAAGAATTAGCCAAAACAATCGACAAAGAGGCCCTCGAGGCCCAGAAAATGTTAAAGCTCGCTGCTTCACAGAGGATGAATACAGATGCCAGAAAGGCCATCTTTTGTGTCATCATGAGCGGGGAAGATTACATCGATGCGTTCGAGAAGCTTCTAAGATTGGATTTGCCCGGAAAGCAGGTTTGGTTGTGGTCACATTTATTACTTCGAGATCTCAAGTTTCAGGCTTTACGTTCATTTTTTTCTCTCTTGTGTGTCCGAATCACATTTGGGTTTTTTTTCCGTGTTGGCAGGACAGGGAAATCATGAGGGTTCTAGTTGAATGCTGTTTGCAAGAGAAAGCGTTTAACAAGTACTATACCGTTCTTGCCTCCAAGTTGTGTGAACATGACAAGAATCACAAGTTCACTCTACAGGTATTTTCTTAGTGTCACTGTCTGTACCATAAAAGAGTATAATTTCATCTTTAGACAAAAGACTAAACTAGATTTTGTGGTTATAATACCTCATTCGCGTTGACAAATTAAAGTCCTCTGCTAATAATTTTCATTGCGCAGTATTGCATTTGGGACCATTTCAAAGAAGTAGAGTCAATGTCCTTACAGAGATCAATGCATCTGGCGAAATTCGTGGCAGAGATGATCGCATCGTTCACTCTCTCCCTCGCGGTACTGAAATCCGTGGACTTGGCGAATCCAAATCAGCTGACTCCGAAGAGAATAATGCACTTCCGGATGCTGTTCGAGGCCATCTTCGAGCATCCCGAAAACATCGTGTGGAATGTGTTCACTCGGATATCGTTGAATCCCGATTACGAGCCCCTGCGCGAAGGAATCAAATTCTTCGCCAGGGAATACGTAGTGAAGAAGCCGAACAAAGCATCGTTCAGAGACAAGTTCACCAAAGCAAAGGAGGCCCTTCACAATTCAGAAGGATTTCTCATGTGAATGAGGAGAAAAATGTAATTTTTATTTATTTTTGGTCGAAATCAAATCATCACCCAAAGTGGGAGAAGGCCAAAAGTTTTTTTTCTAGTTTTATAACATTAACGGGTCTAATCAAGTGTTACTTTCATAGGGATGCTGATCAGTTAATTTCTCAATCAATTTAAATTGAATAATATAACATTCATATGATAGGAATAGTGATCGGTTAATACCTGAATCAATTCAAATAAATTGATATATAATCTGAATTCGAGCCAAATCAACACAAAAAAACCAAACTAAATAAAATTGAACCGAAATTAAAATAGGAACAGATAAAACCAAACGTAACCGGAAATAACCAACTCTATCGACTCATTCATCAAAAGATGAGCTTTGTTTGTATTAAGAAGTTATTCCGAAAACGTTCCAAAAGGGACAAATGATACATTATAACATCACGGTAAAAAAACAAAAACAAAAAAGAAAAGGAAGAAGAAAGCGTATGCCTCCTCAAGTGGAGAATCCATATCATCATTTTCTAGATGCTAAATATTTCCGGGAAAAAAAAAACAGATTATTCAACCAAACAACACAGACGAGAAAGATTCCTTATAAGAATCCAAACAGGGTGTTTTGTCTTCACTTGGCACTGGCGAGCTGGGAGCGGATAAGCTTGGCAGCATCAACCATGTTCTTAAGGGCAGGTTTCACCTCTGCGTACTTGCGGGTCTTAAGACCACAGTCAGGGTTCACCCATAAGATGTTCTGTTCGAGAACAGCGAGCATCTTGTTGATCCTGTCCGCTATCTCCTCTGTCGACGGAATCCTCGGGGAGTGGATGTCGTAAACTCCCGGCCCGATCCCAGCACCGTACTTCACTCCCTCTCTGAACACCGACAGAAGCTTCTCGTCTGAACGAGAGTTCTCGATGGTGATCACATCGGCATCCATGTCGATGATGGAGTGGATGATGTCGTTGAAGTTGGAGTAGCACATGTGGGTATGGATCTGCCAACCCATTAATGATCAAAATTTTAAGAAATTATGCCATCATGTCAATGATATTTTAGATAAATGCAAGTTCTTGCAGGAAGAATCGGCAAAAAAACCTGAGTGCTGTCTTGAACGCCGACGTTGGTGATCCTGAAAGAGTGAACAGCCCAGTCCAAGTAGAAAGCATGCTCTGATTTCCTAAGGGGAAGCCCCTCTCTCAATGCAGCCTCGTCGATCTGAATCACACTAATGCCTGCCTTCTCGAGATCCTCGACTTCGTCCTTGATGGCTAAAGCAATCTGGTAGCAGGTCTCGTGCCTAAAGGATTTTCCCAGATGTAAATCATCTTGGACATTTAATCATCCTTCTTCCACTGTTTCATAAAGTTATATATACGAAATATTATGTACCTAGGTTGGTCGTTTCTGACAAAGGACCAGTTGAGGATGGTGACAGGGCCTGTAAGCATTCCCTTCATGGGGCGAGAGGTCATGCTCTGGGCCGTCGAAGACCAGAAAACCGTCATTGGCTTGGGGCGGCTCACGTCACCGTAGATGATTGGTGGTTTCACACAACGAGACCCGTAAGATTGGACCCACCCGTTAGCAGTGAAGGCAAAACCAGACAATTGCTCTCCAAAGTACTCAACCATGTCATTTCTCTACAATTTAGTAAAAAAAAAAACCTCATCAGAAATGGTGGAAAATGTACCTGAAACATTCTCAGTTTCAGCCATTGCATGGTCTATTATGGGAAAAAGCTCACCTCCGGCTCTCCGTGAACCAGGACATCAATGTCAAGCTCCTCTTGGAGATCAACAACCTTCTTGATTTCTTCCTTGATGGCCTTGACGTATTCCTCCTCGGAGATCCTAGAAAAAAGAGATACCGCAAGGCATATAGTTAACAACATAAGAAACAAAAAAAAAGTATCGTCAAATGCTAAAGTTATTGAATTTAAGATACTAACTTCTTGGCCTTGTATTCACGGCGAACTCTCCTGAGCTCAAGGGTCTGTGGGAACGACCCAATGGTAGTCGTAGGGAGGATCGGGAGGTTGAGCTTCTTCTGTTGAGCATCTAACCTAGCACTAACATTAGTTGCACGACGGTGGTCAGAGCCCTTCAGAGCAGCAGCCTGAGAAAACAAGAATTGCTCCTAATGGTCAGAAAAAGAATTTTAACAAATCAATCAATCAACGTGACAGTATACTGAATCTAATCAAAACTTACAGCCTTCTGAACAGCCTCATTGTTCACCCTTGGGGAAGATCTCCTCGAAGCCAAAGCAGCAGCATTAGCAGAGAAGAAGGCCTGACAGAAGAAAGCACAATTTAAACATTAGTATTTCACAAACCATTTAAGCCACAGCGGCTTACAAGGGAAACAGTGTGCATGCAGAAATTTGCAGAAGAACCATACCTCATCCTTCTGACCAGCCAAAGCCTTGGCCAATGCATTAACCTCAACAACCTTCTGGGCAGCGAAAGCTAACCATGACTTGATTTCAGCATCAAGCTTAGGCTCGTTGACAAGGTCAACAGCAGTGTGGAGGAGAGAGCAGGAAGTGGAGACAACAAGATTGTCTGCACCAATACACACACAACAAAATTAACAAGCAAAATACATATTTCTTTTAAAGTTTTTTCTGTAATCCACGAAAGCAGGCAAAGAGCCATATAATGCTTATGAGAATGTAATACCTTTACCAACAATGCCCTCAAGCTCCGAAAGTGTACTGAGAGAGGCAGCAAGGTCATTAGCCCAGATGTTCCTACCATCGACAACACCAGCAAACAGATACTTGCCCTTGGGAAAACCAGCCTTGATCAGGTCAAGGGTCTTGGTTCCACGAATAAAATCAAATCCAAATGCTGTCACGCCCTTCAAGGAGGTAAGGGTCTTGTATGCTTCAGCAGGGATATCAGCGAAGTAGGTCTCCACGAGAACGTTCAAACCAGAAAGCGTTGATTCAAGTTCAGCATATGCGTCAGTGAAAGCCTGAAGTTTGTCACCCTCAAGATCCATAACAAGAAGAGGCTCATCAAACTGAATCCAGGTGGCACCAGCTCCCTTGAGCTCGGTGATGACTTCCCTGCATACACATTCATCGTTCCAAAGCATGTCAGACATATTATTCATACTATCAAAGAGAAAAGATCTTATGGGAAGGCAATCAATTATCTCACTTGTAGATGGGAAGAATTTTCTCGACAAGAGAGAGGAGGTTGAATGTCTTCTCAACACCCTTGGCACGCTTGGAAAGCAGCAAGTAAGAAACAGGGCCAACGAGGACAGGGACGGTCTCAACACCAAGCTAGATAAATAACAACAAGTCAGTATATCAACACTTTATAATTTATATAGCATTGCAATTTGTACATGAACTAAAGACAATTATGATCAATATGCTCTTGATTAGATTAGTATCAACATGCCAATGTTCTTAACAAATTAGAATAATCGTCCTGATATGCCATCTAAGAACATCAAAGCTCATCCATTACGTCCTCTAACCGAAGCCCACATTTTGCAGTAAATTACTACTGCCGTAGAGTCACTTTCCTCTTATTCTCAGATATGTTGTACTAAAGTTTATGAATGGATACAAGTGAACAATGATACTTACAGCCTTGGCCTCCTTGTACTCATCCACAGCCTTGTGAGATGCATAAGAGAATTTCACATCAGGACCCAACTCTGGGACAATGTAGTGGCTGCATCAAGAAAATACAAAGCACATTAAACTTAAACACACAAGCTCGTTTACAGATCTCCCCAAAAGGGCAACCATTCGGAGATGCAGTTACTTACTAGTTGGTGTCAAACCACTTGGTCATTTCCATGGCTGGAACAGAGGCGTTTCCTCTGGCCATGGAGAAGTAAACATCAAACCCGATCTCGCCACCGTTCCATCCATATCTAGATGGGACAGCACCAAGCATAGCGGTGGTGTCGAGCACCTGATCATAGTAAGCAAAGGTGTTGCTTGGGATGAACTTAGTCCCAGCATCAGACATCTGTTTCCAGATGGATGATCTGAGATCAGCCGCCACCTTCTTCAGATCCTCGGCACTGCTCTTTCCATCCCAAAAGGACTCCAACGCGAATTTGAGCTCTCTCTTGGGGCCCATGCGAGGGTATCCAACAATGTGGGAGGCCATCTTTTCTCTAAATCAAACAGAAAAACTCATCAAAATCAGCTTCTGATCCAATTACAATACAAGTCTGAATACGTTTTCTCTTCATTAAGGAACACAGCTTTACGATATTATATAAGCAACAACAGCCCATTTCAGAGTAGAATCTGAAGCTTTAAGATCAGATCGAATAAATAATAACCGAATCAAGATAGAACATTTATATTCGCGTGTATCTAAGTACAAAAGATAACGTAAAGTGGATCTAGGGCGCAGAAACCCAGAAAAAACAATCATTTGGAATATGTCAAAAAAGGCGGGATCAGATCTTAAGTAACCAAACAGAGATCCAAACCCAGATCTAGAGAACCAACAACACAACATCTCAGATCCATACATTTCACTAACCCACTCACCGATAGATCTCAGTAAAACACAAGCGGAACAAACGGGTCGATGTAAATTCAAATGATTTCAAAAAATTTCACTTGGTTGAACCAAAACAGAGACGGACAAAGCATTGACGAATAAGTAGAAGAAAATGGAAGCGAAGAAGCTATATGTAAGAGAGAGAGGGATGACGAAGGGAAGCCATGGGAACACGGACGCATACCTTGCGGAGGGAGAATCGGGAGGAGAAAGGATTGGTAGAGAGGAGGAGGTCACAAGGGAGAGAGACGAAGACGAAGAGTGGCTTTGTTTGCTTATTTATAGGAAAAACGATGTTAGATCTTGTGCGTGGGCGCGCGTGTGCACGCGCGTAGATCAGCGAGGGTGATTTCCGTCATTTCGATTTAATTTAATAAACATATATGTCATTTCTATGTATATAATACTAACAATATACCGTATATTTACTTGTATTTTATGGACTGAGATACTCGTAAAATAAAAGATATTTTCTATGAAAATGGATCGAATGTATTAAATTTGTATGTAAATAAAACCAGAAAAAAAATTATGTATGGTCAGGAAAATTTTTTTTTATTATGGTAATACCCTTTTTCCAATATAATAAATTGAAATCTAAACTACATATTAATGTTTCAATGAAAAAATAAATTTAAGGGTTATATTTTAAGCTTGGAAAATTCAAAATTATGACATTGTTGAGTTGAAAAAGGTTCTGAATATCCTAAAAATGTATGAATTGGGAATATTTAACAAGTGCAAGAGTTGAATTAAATTCTACTAAATTATTATTAATCATTAAGAAGTTAATATTTTGTTGGAAGTAATATTAACGGCATAAAAAATTAAGGCAGACAACGGAATTAAAACGTGAGAGGGGAGTTGGTGGTCTTGGTGGGTGGGTGGGGTCCACAGGGTGGCTTTTGGGGTTGCTAAGATTCACTGAAAGAGGAGAGGTGTCCATCTAATATAGAAAATTAAAAAAATAAAATATTTGATTTTGTTGAAATCTGAATTAAAATATAATCAAATTAGAAGTCCAAATATCAACCAAAATAGGATTTGTTGGTGAGATTAGAAAGGGTGAATGAGAAAATAGAAAGAAAAAAAAAACTAAGTACAAGTATTTTTTTTTCTTTTTAAGATTTGGTACAATTTACAAAGTGATAGTGTTGTTGTTAGCTGATGATTTGGCCACCAAAAAATTTGGATTTTGACGTATCAACCTTTTTCATTTCTCTTTATTTACAACATTACCCTTCTGACTAGTAATCTAGTAACGCCAAACTTATTACATTAATAAATTTGTATATAATATTAAAAATACATGTATACAAATATTATAAGAATTTATTGTGTGGAAAATCGGCAGTTGTTTTTTGAAAGTTCAATTTTCAGATTGTAGTGGTTAGTAATCATTTATATTTTATTTCTTATCCCTTTTTTTGCCATCTTGAGGACCACCAACCAAACTCGGGTAAATCATCTCTATTTCCCGATAACGAAATTTCATCAATCCAACTAACACTGGTTAACTTCCAAAAGTTAATGAGAAGAATTCTCAAAGAGAATGCGGCAACAAAAAAAAAAATTACATATTAACACAAGCTTTGTATTTCATAAAATGGATGGTCAAAGCATAGGCAGATGATGTAGTAATAGTAGTAGCGAGAAGCATGAGTGTCTGTCCCTATTACAAACCATTTGTTAGAGATCACAGTTTCCTAGAGTGCTACTGAGACCATAAGCTAATCCACTCAACAAACTAAGGGAATGGTTTACGGGCAGCCAAAACAAGAATTGTGAGTCTTTACTTACACTGACACGGCCGTGATGGCTCTGTAGGTTTCCGGCCCAAGAAGAACAGAAGCAGAGCCGCCGGTTCGTGGGTTCAGAAACTAGTTGCCTCTTGCCTTCTCCAGATCAGGTAGATCTGAGAAACGCTTTCTAAAGATCAGTTTCTTCCCACAAACAAATCGGTGTACCGAAAAGGAAAAAAGGGTCCAAAACAAAACAACAGACCGATCTTAATAGTTCCTCTAAAACATCGAACTTTACAAGTTATATATCGGGCGTTTAACAGTCTGTCAATCAATCCTCGTCTATACTCGGAAGATCTAAGCTGCACCAAAATGTTCGACATGCCCATGTCTCATAATCTCAAGTTCTTAACATGCAAGTGTGAGTATATGATTTGCAAAATGAAATTCAGTGAGTATGATTGCTGTATGAAGATCAAAGAGCGTTGAAACTTACAGAGCATTCCATCGTCATCACTACCTTCACCTTCACCATCAACAAACTACGACGAAAAAAGGGACAATAATTAGACATTAACACGAATAAAAACCATTAAACCAACAGAGGCTGGCTTTCTATGAAGAAAAATTTACCGCAGACTCATCGTCAGAGGCAACATCAGCTGCAACATAAGATTACATGTCTAGAGTTAGAGACAGTGACTGAAGGAGATTGAATATTAACGGGATTGTCTATTCTATGTGATCTCTGACTTAGCTGGTTATGCCATCCAAACCAAAGTAAAAATAATTGTTTGGCTCGTTGAAGATGAAGATTTCAGACAAAACCCCCTGAGATTTTACTGAAACTTGAAACTGCTAAATTTCGGACTTACAAGTGGGCTCCTCGTCCTCATCACACCATTTATTCCAATCAACTTTAATGTAAGGTGCAGGTTTCACTCCTGATTTCAGCAAGCTTTTCCACCAACCCTTTTCTTCTTTCTGAACTGAACATATAATGTTCCTTAGCCCCACATTCGTTTTACAACCCTGTACCGTGAACAGCAGAAGTTACAATACAATGTAACAAGAAGTGAGGAATATGGACTTCCAGGAAAAGCCATAGGTCGAATGTTTGACACATCAGAAGTATATTTCTAAAACCACTTCTTTCAAGCATCCTTTTTCTAAGGATCTCATAAACTTCAAAGGTAGATTACGCTTGCATCTCGACTTGCATAGTTTCACATCGAAATTGGACTCATAGCAGCACTATGAACTTCTGTTGACCACTTATGCTCGATACTATGCAACAATCTTTGGGTCGGTGAAGTAAATCATGTAACTTTTCCTAAAAGGTGAAAATATGATCTATTGTTGAGAGTGCAGGCAAGCACATATTCCATTAGCTGCTGACCTATTCTCCATGGAAAAAACAATGTAAAATTACACTAAGAAAAGGACACCCTGATGCAAGAATGGAATTGATCTTACCGCAGGCACAATTTTCCCGTACAATTCCACGCTGAATTCAAAGCGCTTGCCTTGGGCACCAACAGCTGAGAAACTAAATGCACCATGAGGCTCACATTTCACTGAAATGTCCTTCGCATCAGGTAGGGCGACTGTTAAATAAACCTTATCAGAACGTTGGGCCCAAAGAACTTCCGGGTTATGACTGCAAACAAGGAAAAATGATAGCTTCAGATTGCTGCATTACTCAAAGTCAATGAACTGTGTGTAGCATAAACCTTGACGACACAAGAAAACAGAAAAATGCAACAACTAAAAGAGATGATCGATTTTTACTAGGTATAATACATGCCAAACATCTAGCAAAAGTTCAGGATCTCAAATTTCACTAGAAGTAAACTTTATTCGAAAACTAAAGTAATTCATTTGAACCAGAAGTTAAAGTTACCCGATGGAACAAACCAAAAATGGGAATCTGCAGGACATTTTTCAGAGAAATTGTATTTCTAGGGAATACTTTTCTCAGTCCCGATTCTGTTAAAGACGGAGAGTACATATAATGGACGATGAACAGCTCCTTCGTGGGCATGACTTTGGTATTGCCTCTAGAATAAACCAAATGCATAGACGCTTTCACAGAGGCAGTCCCGGTAGATACTATCCATTGACTCCACAATTTTATATCCCAAAACACAGCAGATTTTACAAGAAATATCTATCAACATTCTTCACGAGAATCAAGCAAGAGAGTAATGGTCGAAACCCGGAATTGTAACAAACAACATCGCAAGAATCAATTCACTCATATCCTTTCAGATTCATATCTGGGTGTCTTTTATCTTCGTATTCCTCGCAATTAATCCAAGGCCCAAATTTTTGCACATACTCCGCGGGCATAAACCCTAGAGATTACGAAATATGAAAGTTTTACATTCTCAGGAATCGCACCGAGAAGCCCACGTCAAAAGCAACAGCTAAAACGATAAAAAAAAAATCTCCGATTTTTGAACTTTGGGAAAGGAAGATTGCACCATTTTAAACATCACAAGAAAGGAGATTAGACGAATCTTGCTACAATCGAATCGGATTTCGCTCTCGAATTAAAAGAATCGCACTTGAAATGCGACAAGCTAGAGATCGATCAGTTCGTCCGATTCGAGAGAACCGGACTGGTACCTACCTCATCTCCTTAGCCTCCAGTTGACGGAAATCAAAGACGGCGAAGAGCGAACGGAGAACAAAGTGTCGAAGCTCCAAAGAGCGAAGAGTGAGCCGAGACACTCAAGTATCACTTATCAGGGCAAACTTCATATTTTCTAGCCCCAACAATTATGCAATATTACATAAAGACCACACCACTTTACAGAAATCAAGAATAGCCCCAAAATGTTATATAAGTTTCACTTTGGACCCAAATTTTAATTTATTTTCTTGTACCAAATCCCAATTGGTCTTGCATAGCATAAGGCCGGTCAGTCCATTTCGTGGGAAACAATCATCGCATATATATGACATTATTATTTAACGAAACTAAAATTTTTTTTTATTGTAATTAAATGGGAAAAGATTTGGAATCTCTCCATTTTCAAGGGAAAGGAAAGCTTGATGGACCTTTCTGATAAAGACACCGAAATGCTTAGTGCTTACGTCACTCTGAAAGTGAAAACTCATATGTGCCACGAACCCACCTTTTTGAGTTTCTACTAATTAATTAATTAATTAAAACTCAATTAATAAAGTATTGGAAGAAAACTCACCAAAAATAATGTCAACATCTCAAATTTGTAGAAAGATTTGTTATGATTACGATGAATTCGTTTTTAAAAAAATTATACCTTTTTTACATAGAACTCATATAACATTTCGTTTGGATTTATATTGTTCAGATTTGATTTTAAAAAATAGTTTTTAAATGATTCCTTTTTTATTATATTTAAAATTATTTTTTATGTTCGTTTTGATTTTTTTGTTTGACTTCAAACTAAAATTCAATTACATGTAGACTTCGCTATATTTAGATTTAAAAAAAATGTATATCCATAATTCTTGTCCCTCTCCCAAAGAATCTTCACCTTTTTTATCTTTTTAAATTTTGGTCTTTGTGCTTTCTTCACCACAGCTTTTGCCCGAGTGGGTTCTTCTTCATCTCTGGTCTCCCTTTTCTTAAAAAAAAAATCCATAACGTTATTACAAAATCACGTGTCAAGTTTCAAACGAGTTTAATGGCTTCAGTGTAAAGATAAACTTCCTGATTGTTTGGAAGATGTCCCTTTTCTTGTTTCTTCTTCTTCTTGCAAGCTCTGTAATTACAGTAACAATGGAGAGACAGGGAAGATGTCGGCTAGTGCGAGTGGGATTCCCCATGCTGTGTATTTGCATGTGAACACCTTCTGGGTTTTTCTCAAAGTTTTTAACTTTTTTTTTTCTTGACGATTCTTGAGCAGAGGGCCCAACTCTCTGCTGCCATGAGAAGAGAGAGAATCTTTCTATGATCTTGATTCGATCCTGTGTATGACTTTGTTGGATATGGAGAAGAAGCTCTGTGTTCCAGCGTTGCTGGTTCTGGTTTTGCTTTCTGCCTCCATAGCCGATTCTCAGCAGTTGCAGTCATCTCAATCCCAGACCCTCTTGAGGATTCAGCAGCTCCTTCACTTTCCACCTGCTCTAAGCCTCTGGAACAGCTCGACGGATTTCTGCAATTCTGAACCGAACCCATCTCTAACTGTTGTCTGCTACGGAGACAGCGTCACACAGTTACACATCATAGGGAACAGGGGAGGAGCTCGTCTCTTACCAAAGAGTTTCTCCATGGATTCTTTCGTGACAACCCTTGTCAAGCTTTCCGACATTAAAGTTCTCACCTTGGTTTCTCTTGGATTATGGGGTCCATTACCTGGAAAGATCGACCGTTTATCCTCGTTGGAGATTCTCAACGTCAGCTCCAATTTCCTCTTTGGATCAATCCCTCATGAACTTTCCACACTAGCGAATCTGCAGACGCTTATCCTGGATAAGAACATGTTTACTGGTGAGTTACCAGATTGGATTGGTTCTTTATCTGGTTTGACAGTGTTGAGTTTCAGAAAGAACATGTTCAACGGGTCATTGCCTTCTTCACTGAGTGGCTTGTCGGCTCTTAGAGTTCTCGATCTTGCGAGTAACCGGTTTAACGGGGAAGTGCCCGGTTTAAGCCATTTGACAAACCTTCAAGTTCTGGACTTGGAAGGGAATTGTTTAGGATCTCGGTTTCCTAGGCTTGGTGACAAGTTGGTAACTCTCATACTGAGCAAGAACAGGTTTAGGTCCGGAATCACATCAGAAGGAATGAGTTCCTTTTATCAGCTCCAACATTTGGATCTTTCGTCCAATACGTTCATCGGTCCGTTCCCTACTTCCGTGTTATCTCTCCCCGGGATAACTTATTTGAACATCTCACACAACAAATTCACTGGTCGGCTCAACGTGAATCTTTCTTGCAACTCCGAGCTTATGCTTGTTGACCTGTCATCGAATCTTTTAACCGGAAGCTTACCTACCTGTCTTAAGCCGAGCTCCAGGAACAGGCTAGTTTCATATTCGGGTAACTGTTTGGATACTGCCCTTGAAAACCAGCATCCGGTTTCGTTCTGCAGCAATGAAGCTCTTGCTGTTGGAATTCTTCCCCAGAGAAAGAAGAGGAAGATTTCAAAAGCCGGTCTTGCCTCGGGCATAACTGCAGGTGTTAGCGGGTTAGTTCTGCTTGTTGTTGTCTTGTTCGTGTTTGTGAGACGAATAAATGCCGAGAAAACAGCAAAGAAAGCTCATCCAAGATTGATAATGGAGAATGCTTCAACTAGATATACATCTAAGTTGCTGTCAGATGCAAGTAAGATCGCATCCTCCATGTTTTTGCGTAATTTCTTGTCACACGTCTCGTTCATTTACCGGGTTTCTGATCATTTCAAAAGGGTATATTTCTCGAACAATGACGCTGGGAGCTGTCGGGATTCCGGCCTACAGAACATTCTCGTTAGAAGAGCTCGAATATGCGACCAATAACTTCGAAACATCAGCTTTCATGGGTGAAGGTTCTGAGGGACAGGTAAAAGCTTACATATTTTCCTAATCTCCATAGTTTAACATTCGAATCAATAACCAAAAGTACGATTTTCTCGTCTTCGATTTGTTCGTTCAGATTTACCGAGGGAAGTTGAAAGACGGGTTCTTTGTCGCTATCAGATGCTTGAAAATGAAGAAAAGCTGCAACACCCAAAACTTTATGCAGCATATCGAGCTCGTTGCTAAACTGAGGCACCGTAACTTAGTTAGCTTTCTCGGGCACTGCTTCGAGTGTTACTTGGACGATTCTACCGTCAGCAGAATGTTCCTCATTTTCGAGTATGTTCCTAACGGGAACCTCAGGAGCTGGATTTCGGGTAAAACCTTGAACTTGCCCCGAAAACATATCGGATTCCGATCTTTTATCTACACTAACTGAGAATTTTTTTCGTTGTTTCTGTGCAGATGTGCATATGGGACGGTTGCTGACATGGGAACAACGTATAAGCACGGCCATAGGGGTTGCGAAAGGGATCCAGTTCTTGCATACGGGTATTGTTCCGGGTGTTTATGCGAACAATCTGAAAACAACTGACGTTTTGCTGGACAATAACCTCGGGGCGAAAATCAGTAGCTATAACCTTCCATTACTCGAAAGTGTCGGAAAGGTACATTAAAAATCGAAACTTTCATTGCTACATCGAAAAGTTTTAGGTGCTTCTATGATCTAAAGAGCTCAATACTTTCTGGGGTCGGACGGGCAGAAGATGTCTTCGAGTGGGCGGAAAGACGGAGAAAAACTCGATATTTACGACTTTGGAGTGATCTTACTCGAGCTGATTGTAGGGAGGCCATTGAAAACAAAGAGTCAAGTGGATGTTGTAAAGGAGCAGGTAGATAAGATATCATCATATCATATGGTTCTCTAGGTTTAGACATCGAAGCTCTCGGATCAAACGAGATAACTTCTGATATCGGGTTTACAGATACAAGGGAGCGTTTCAGAAGAAGATGCGGCGGCTCGTAGGAGCATGGTGGACCCCACGGTTCACAGGGAATGCTCTGATCAGTCGTTGAAGACGATGATGGAAGTATCAGTGAGGTGTCTCCTCGAGGATCCGTGGGAGAGACCGTCCATCGAGGATGTCCTTTGGAACCTGCAGTTCGCGTCTCAAGTTCAGGACGGCTCGCCCGGCCGTGCGACAGCGTCGTCCTAGCTTCCTCCGAGTCTGAACGTAAGTTCAGGTGCTGCACTTCTTGGCATCATGCTGTTCTTGATATCTGTTGATTAAGGATTCAAGATCACATCGATCTCTGACCTGATGTCGGAATTGGGTGGCATTCCAAGAGATGATCGATTTTTACTAGGTATAATACATGCCAAACATCTAGCAAAAGTTCAGGATCTCAAATTTCACTAGAAGTAAACTTTATTCGAAAACTAAAGTAATTCATTTGAACCAGAAGTTAAAGTTACCCGATGGAACAAACCAAAAATGGGAATCTGCAGGACATTTTTCAGAGAAATTGTATTTCTAGGGAATACTTTTCTCAGTCCCGATTCTGTTAAAGACGGAGAGTACATATAATGGACGATGAACAGCTCCTTCGTGGGCATGACTTTGGTATTGCCTCTAGAATAAACCAAATGCATAGACGCTTTCACAGAGGCAGTCCCGGTAGATACTATCCATTGACTCCACAATTTTATATCCCAAAACACAGCAGATTTTACAAGAAATATCTATCAACATTCTTCACGAGAATCAAGCAAGAGAGTAATGGTCGAAACCCGGAATTGTAACAAACAACATCGCAAGAATCAATTCACTCATATCCTTTCAGATTCATATCTGGGTGTCTTTTATCTTCGTATTCCTCGCAATTATTCCTGGTATGATGATGTTGTTGCAGGCACGGAGAGCAAGAACGGTAGAGGCGAGGTTCTAGTTTGGTTCCTCTCTTTACGTAACAGATGCTCTTTTATTTACGTTTTGTTCTTGTCATAGTAAATAAAAATATAAAGTTCTCTTGTGAAAAAATTACTACCCTTTTTCTCTCTAATATTTTGTAAAATCTATTTATATTTGTTTGACATTTTGGCATTATATCAAAAATACTCTATCTTTCTCTAGCTATGAATTTGAATTTGTGATATATATGATTAAAAATATAATTTTGTTTACATTAGTTATAACGTTAAATTTATAACGTTTGTATTAAATGATTATGTGAAATATATAAGGTATAAACATAATGAATAGATATTATTATAAATTTAACGTTAAGATTATATTTATGATTAGATGTATATGTGTTGAAGTTAAAATAATGAGATTATTTTGATAATCACCGGAATTTTTACATATTTGTAATTTTGTATAATTGGTGAAAAAATAAACCAAAAGATATAAACAGGTTTACCAAACACTTCGTCCCAAAACCATAAATATATTAATATCCTCCTAGTCTCCTATTCTCTTCTTCCAACAGGGAGATTTTCTGTCACTTTCTCAGGAAAATCTCGAAAGGAAATCCGCCCGAGAAAATTCGGAAGAAAAAGGCGAAGAATTGGAATTCGTAATTCGAAATGCCATCGCCACCGGCGTCTTCTTCCCTCTCCGTCACGCAAACCATAAACGGATCGCACAGCTTCACCATCAAGGGCTATTCACTGGCCAAAGGAATCGGGATCGGGAAGCACATCGCCAGCGACACCTTCACCGTCGGAGGATACCAGTGGGCTATCTACTTCTACCCTGACGGCAAGAACCCCGAGGATAATTCGGCCTACGTCTCGGTCTTCATCGCCCTCGCCAGCGACGGCACCGATGTTAGGGCTTTGTTCGAGCTCTCGTTGCTCGATCAGAGCGGGAAAGGGAAGCACAAAGTCCATAGCCACTTCGATCGTGCCCTCGAGAGCGGCCCTTACACCCTCAAGTACCGCGGAAGCATGTGGTTCGTCGCTCGTGATCTTCTCTGATTTTCTAGCTTTGGTTTTTCTGTTCTGTCTAGGGTTTAGGGGAGGTGAATTCAGCTTGATACCCATTTTAGGTGGTTGATTTTATTCGAGTTCCTTTTTCGTCAACATAGTGTCAGATTGAATTTCTTAGAATATGTTTTTGGTTTCATGGGAAACTGAACGTGTAACCTAGAAAAAGTCTGCGGATTTCAGAAGCTTGAGACCGTGTGCGTTAGGAATACAAGAACACAGGGTCATAAATGAGTAAATTGCTGTTTTTTTTTCTCTGATTCTTCAGTTGGAAAAGGATTTCCTAGGATTAAGTGGACAAATTTCTCTATCTGTTTGATTTTCTTTGCGATTGGATGGGGACTAAGGAGAAAGAATATGCATAAATGTGAAAGGTGGATTGGAAAACCACGGATGAGCTTTGAGAAAAGCCTTTGAAGTAAGAAAGTTTCTTTTTTTTCCCTGCAATAATAGATGTTGGTTTCTGAAATTTTCTCGTTTGGATTTGTCATTAAAGTCTTGGACTTTAAGCATGTAGCAAGGCACATTTTAAAAATGCATATCAGATTGTTCTGAAAATGCAAAAACTGGTAGGTGCTATTCCACCAGCTTGTAGCAATGGTGCTGAATTCAGCAAAGTTGGTAGTTTGGTTTCCCGATATCATGTCTTTGCTTGAAAGTAAAAATTTTCTGGCATTTTGACGTGGTTTTGGAGACTTTGCATGGCAGTGAATCGATTTTCCTTTGGATCGTAGGTTAATTTGGGGGGTAGGAATTTCGTTTGTTATTTGCTTGTGCATTGTACACTTGCTAGGAGTGATTTCACAGTATGCACACATGGATCTATCCATGGTTTGGTTATTTTCCTTCTCCTCTATAAGCTTATCAACTATTTCCCTTTTTCATGATGTGATTCCGTTGTATGTTCCCTCCTTGTATGGGATTTATTTTTTAATTAAAGGTGGCTAACTTATTGGCCTGTTTGCAAAGAGAATGTGAAGTCTAACAGTTATAGCTTCACTTCTCGTTATCCCATTTGTAACTTGTTACTACTTTATCTGTTATTCCTAAAAGAAAATATAAAAGCAGAAATTTTCTGTGGTAAACTTTTTCCATTTAGTTTTTAAGAAGTTTAGTTTGGATGCTGTTGCTACGGTATTAACGTTTTGAAATGACTCACTGCTTAATTTGAGATTGTGGAGCACGACCCTTCCTTCTGAACCAAGACTGAAGACATTTTGATAAATTGTTATGTGCATTGTGGCTGACTGCTGATTCAACCCTGCTAATGTGGTGATAAACTGATAAAAAGAAAATTAGTGTTGATGAATGCGGAGATCAAATTGTACTGTTTTCTTTTGCTTTCTTTTTGTTTTATGATGCCTTAGATTTACATATCTTGTTTCATATTAGAAAGATCATTAACCTTTTGCTTAACTTCTTACTTATCCAAATGAATCCTTTGTTAGTTTAATGCATATTCATTTTGTTATCAATAGGGGATACAAGCGCTTTTTCCGAAGAGCTATGCTAGAAACATCTGATTTTCTGAAGGATGACTGTCTTAAAATTAATTGCACTGTGGGAGTTGTGGTCTCCGAAATAGATTGTCCAAGATTACATTCAATCCATGTCCCTGCATCTGATATCGGATCTCATTTTGGGATGCTGCTGGAGAATGAGGAAGGTGCAGATGTAACATTTAACGTGGCAGGCGAGAAGTTTCGTGCTCACAGGTTGGTGTTGGCCGCTCGGTCACCTGTCTTTGAAAATGAGCTGCTTGAGGGAACTGGGGATGAGGACCAAGAGATTGAAGTTTCTGACATGGAGCCTAGGGTTTTCAAGGTATCTGTCTTCAGCTTCTGACACAATGTATAAACATGATGTACTACTACAAGCACATTGCATTTTTTTTTCTCTTCTTACTTTTTGCTCTTGATGCATCTGTTATGAAGGCTTTGCTGCATTATATCTACAAGGATGCCCTTATTGAAGAAGCCGAGTTGTCAGCTACTGGTTCATCTGTTGGGCCATCTGCATCAGACACGTTGGCTGCAAAGTTGCTGGCTGCCGCTGATAAATATAGGTTACCTAGACTCAGTCTGATGTGTGAATCTGTGCTTTGCAAGGATATGTCTGTAAATTCCGTCGCAAATATTCTGGCACTTGCTGACCGCTACAATGCTACTGCCTTAAAATCAGTTTCCCTTAAGTTCGCTGCAGAAAATCTTGTCGGTATGATCCTATGACTCCTCACTGGTTTGATATTCTTTTCTCTGTTTTTCTTGTTCGTTTCTTCTTGTGGATTCTCTGAAAACTTAATGTTTGCAATTTACCCCATTTGCTTTTCTGATTCAAGACTACATCCTAACTCAATTTACGGTTGTCCTTAAACTCTCCCCAAACAGCTGTTATGCGGTCAGATGGGTTCGAGTATCTCAGAGAGCACTGCCCTTCACTTCAGTCTGAGCTTCTGAAAACAGTTGCGGGTTGTGAAGAGGAGTTCAGTGGAGGGAAGACGAGAAGCGTGTGGGCGCAATTCTCAGACAGTGGTGCTGACACAAACGACAGAAGCGTAAGGCAACAAACATGGGAGATCAATGGGGGAGCAGACAGAAGCCAGAGCGTTTGGGTTCAAGTTGTGAACGGCAATGCAAGTGGTAGAAGAAACCACAACTGCAACAACAACAGCAATAACAACAACGATGATGACAATGACAACAACTCCATGCCTGAAGATTGAGCAAGTAAATGCTAAGATAACAAAAAAAACCCTAAAGGGAACAGAGATTGTTGAAATCCGGGTAAAGCTGAAACGGGTAAAGAAGTAAGGAGCAGATACGGATTTTAGCTATGGTGCTGAGATCTGAGCAATTAAGGTTTTCAGCTGATTTGTGGCTGAACAGACCAAACCAAACGGGGTTTGAGACAAGTCTTGTTGTATTGTTCTGATAAGATACTCTGTGACCAACTGTTTTGATTCCGAAACTCAACCAACTATCTATGTTGTCAATATAACAGTATATGTTTGTTTAGCTTCTGGTCTCTGTTTGAGTCCAAAATCTCAAGTCTTGTACGTTTTTGAAGCGTTTGCATGGATTATAATTATATTACCAAAGCAGCATCTGACAATGGTGGGCAAAGATATGTGAAGAATGCTAAGATATATGATCATTTGAACCGAGATGGTGGAATAGTATCATGTAGTTGACGAATGTTAACCACCGAAAAACTGGACATGGTAAACATCAAATCTCCCATGGTGCCGACTCTTCGTATGATGAACTGGTGGAGGGCTACGATGGAAATGTATAAAGTTATGTCCTTAAATGGAAATATTCTATAAATCGGATGTCTATTTTGTAATTATCAAGAATTGAAGATGCTGCTGACTGCCGAGTTGTCCGTCTCGTCTTTGTCAATCACGTATCAAAAACAAAAAGCGCGTATTATCCAACTCTGAATCCGTACAAAATTACAAATATCTTGGCTCGCCTCTTTGAGATGAGTTTCCATCGTGCACGCCTCTCGTAATCTCTTTCCAACATGAAACATGCAA